TGAGTTTTGCTATAAGAAGCTGATGATCAGAGCCACAATCAGCTCCAGGTCTTGTTTTTGCTAACTGTATAGAACATCTTTGGCTGCAGAGAATATACTTGGGGGAATTGAACTGTTGTTGCTCTGTGCTCTTGAATCACTTCTGAGTTATGTTGATCATAATGAATTAATAAAATATGAATTAATGACCTCTAGAAAATCCTGTCAGGAACGAGATCTGCAAACTATGGCTTCTTTTACTGAGTCAATCCATCTTGTGTTAGGTCTTTTTCCTTACCGCTTTCCACTTTTCCCGGCATTATTGTATTTTCCCGTGAATTTTGTCTTCTCATGTTGTCCCAAATATGATAGCCTTGGATTAGCCATTTTAGTGAGAATTTAGCCTTGGTTTGATCTAGAACCCACTTATTTACCTGTCTGGCAGTGCATGATAGCAGGTAAGCTTTCGTCTAACACCAAACTTTGAATGATTTTTTTTTGCCCTGTCAGCTTTCTTCACTCTCTAGCTTTCACATCCAAATATAATAATACCATGATACGAATGATCGTGGCCTTGATCTATACCCACGTCCTTACACTTAAGGATTTTTTTTCTAGTACTTTCATAACTGCTCTTGGAAGTCTCCTTCTAATTTTCTTGACTACAGTCTCCATTTTCCACCCACTAATTCTGGAAGCAAATCACTTTTTGTGCTTTCAGTTTCAGTTTTCAGCCAATCAGTCTATTACTCAACATTCAGCTATGTACTTGGATCTTTTGTTTCCCAGGCAGGCCACAATGCTTACAAGCTTCTTTTAAAATATATTTTAAAATTTTCTATTGATGGACCAAGTCTAAATTTGGTTTATTTTTGGAGCCACAGAAAACGTTCAAACTCTCACAGTGCAGCAAATGAACTGCTTTTGATATAATTTTCTTGATGGTCCAAAATCTGTCCTGTTTTTGCACCGTTTTAAAAAAATGCATGCATTCCAAGCCATTATGTGTTGCATGTGCTCATCTTCCCCACTGAATAAAGCAAGCTTGAGCCACGTGTCTGCTCGTGTTGGAAAAGTGGACTTTCTTTTAGGCACACCTTTCAAGTCTGCATGGACATGTGTGATAAATGACCTGGCTGCTGGATCTTGGGATGTAGTAAGATGACAAAATCAGTCTCAGAAGTCTGAAAACTTTCCCATCTTGTTGTAAATTGCTATACATAGTCCAGGCTTCCAACTAAAATGAGGCACAGGGGATTAGAACTATGTACTGCTGGCCATCAAGGAACCGTATTTATCAGCCCTAACATCTCCGACATTTCTGTTTCATTTTCCTCCTGGTACCCCAGTTGTTTCAATAGATGATTGGCCACTTGGCTTGTATAAAGCCACAACAACCCCTGGCCTTTTGCCAGTAGGGATTATCACTGAACTTTTAAGCTGTTCCTTCTGGATCCAACACTCCCTACTCCCATCGCAGTCCCACATCTTTATTCCCACTGTGATCACCAACCCTGACAACAAAGGCTCAACAAACTACTTCTGTCAAACAAGACATCTGGAATGGGGGAAGACATATTATACAGAATCAGGTGGCTGAATCCCTTCTGAATCAGAGTTGCGTAACTTCGGCAGCTCCAAGGGCCAGTCTCACTTCCCCACAGGAACACCTTGTCAGTTTACTTCCTTTTCTAAAGTTAAGAACAACAAACTTGAAAACGCTGTACTATTTTGCACCAAGTCAGGACAGCATGCCTTATAGGGCAGCATGCCTTACAGATGAGGCTATTTCTGAGAGAACACCCTCTTCTGGCGTCTTTCGAGTTCAGTAGTTCCCCGCACACCATGGTGATGGTGATGGTCAGGTATCAAGGATATGCCCAAAGAATCAGAAGGCCTCAAACTTGGTAATTAAACTTGGCTGAGGGTTAAACCACTGAAGCCTCTGTGCTGCAAGGTCAGAAGACCTGCAGTCATAAGATCAAATCCACGCAACGGACTGCGCCCCCATCGCTTGTCCCAGCTCCCGCAAACCTAGCAGTTCAAAAGCATGCAAAAATGCAAGTAGATAAATAGGTGCCATCTCGGTGGGAAGGTAAACAGTGTTCTGTGTCTAGTCACGCTGGCCACGTGACCACAGAGGATTGTCTGCGGACAAAACTCTAGCTTTATGGGTTGGAAACGGAGATGAGCACCACTCCATAGAGTTGGACATGACTAGACAAATTGTCAAGGGGAACCTTTACCTTTACCTTTTACCCCAAGGTTTCAGACTGGTGTCCCTTCCAATCTGGAGTCCTTCCAGTGTAAGTACCAGGGACTAATCTTCTGCATGTAATGTGACTCCTCTCCTGTCCCTTTAGGGCTGTTTTACTACTTCTTCTATCTCCCATTTATACTTGAGAAGAAGAGCAAAAAGATGTTGTGGGATGGGACAGACCTTTAGCAGTAGTCCAAGTGCTTTGTATGCATCAAGTAGGAACCGGCACTTGAAGAACTTGCGTGACCCCGGGAATTTAACTGGCACCTCATGAATTAGTGGCAATTTGCCGCCATAACCTACACCATTTCACTTATCGCAAGCATAAGTCACGAGTTGGTTTCTGGCTGCTGTGATGCATTCTATACAGACATTTTAATTTACAGCGAAAAAGGAGAAATGGCCACAAATCTGATGAATTAAACCATAGGGCCTATGGTTGTGAACTGAAAAAAACGAAAGACGTTGCAGATCTAATTCTGAAATGTATTCATTTCATGTGTGAAATGGTGGTTGGAGAGAGAGATTGAGTTCGGACAATTGTGGATCCAGGTTCAAGCTGCACAGAGCCCTGCTGCTCATGGGGTGCCTTGATCAAGCCAAGCCCCTTCATGCAGATTGACCTACTTCACAGGATTGTGAGCATCAAGTGGGGAGGAAAGAAGAGAGCAGCTTCACTGACTTGAGATCAGTAGGAGGAAGTGGTGCACAAATGTCAACAATAAGATAACAACAAATAATGTGCCTATATCCAAAATCCAGAATCACTGACTTGAGATCAGTAGGAGGAAGTGGGCCATAAATGTCAACAATAAGATAAGAACAAATAATATGCCTAATCTATCCAAAGTCCAGAACAAATAACAAAGGTATACATTTGTACCTAAAACCCATGATCTGACTTGGGGACTTCATCTGTGAAGACTAATGTAAAAGACTTAACTTTCAGTTAAGACACTTTTTAATGTTTTACCTGTTTTTAATTATTCAACTGCATTTTAATCAGTTTTATCGTTTCATTATTTTTAAGCTATATTTTACTGTGTTTTTAAATCTATTCTTTTTAATACTGGATCCCCTTATTGAGAGAAAGATGGCCTATAAATAAGACAAACAATACCTGTAGAATGCATGCAGCGCTTATTGAGAGAAAGGTGGCCTATAAATAAGATAAACAATAACTAGAATGCATGCAGCATTCAAGCAGAATGCTGAATGAGGCTTAGAAGCTGCAGGTTCAAATTCTCACAGTCATGAAATCCACTGGATGACTACAGGCCAGTCTCTCTCCCGGCCTGACCTTCTCCATAGGAAAATGGGGAGGGGGGGAAATGATTTTGCTAAAATATAACTTAAAATAAAAGCAGGATACTGTCTGGTCAATACAGAGCTTAGGGGGGGAACTGGAACAGCTTGTGTAAAACAGTTATCCTGGCTAGAGTTTGAGCTACATTTAAATCTTTTGATAGATTGTCATGTTTCTGTTTATTTCGGCTTCTAGCCAGAGGAGATGGCAAAAAAGGACTGCACATTGATCTGTCTCTGTCCCCACAGGTGACAGGATTTCACCTGATGGACTCTACAACACTTATAGCAGGGTTCATGAGATGGGAGGGGAAGTAAAACTAGGAAGCACTGAGGACAGAAGCTGGTGCTGTTTCGATGTGTCAAAAAATGAGGAATTAAAAATACTTTTTAAAAAATCAGCACCAGTTACAAACATCTGGTTAAACAAGAATCAAAAGCAGTATCTCTGCTGACGCACTCACAACTAAATCACCAGAGGGGTTTGCACAGCTCTGTCCTGGCCTGCATTTACTGGAAGCAGCAATTTAATAGATGTCTTATTTGCCAAGTTTGGGGAAAGAGTTTTTTTGGGGGGGTTTCTTAGTAAAATTAACAAGGTATTTAAATACTCCCAGTATTTAAATGAACATTACTCAATCAAATCACTCTTATGTCAGTTAATGACATCAGCGTTCTAATGCCTTGTGAAAAACAGTTCCTTAATCAGATTAATGATTACTTTTTTATTTTAGGTTGGATGCATTTGAAAATGAGTCTAATTTACTGTAAATATATATCACTGTATTGCAGCAGAGGCACAGCTGTGCCAGGATGATATCCAGGAGTTTGTGATGATCTACTGTTAATTGCTATGTTTATTTTTTTAATGAACCCTGGATTCAAATCCCCTCACTTCTGGAAGCATACAGTAGAAGGCTGGACTAGAAGACTTATAAAACATCTTCCCAGGCTTTATGTATAAACCTTCTAGAGCTAAGTAAAAATTACTTTTTGGACTAAAACTTCCCAGAATTCCCTGGCCAATGCATGATGACTGGGGAAGGGATGTTCTGAAAATTGCAGAAGGAGGAAAAAAAAATCATTCCCCAGCTCTCCCTGCACCTTATGATTAAACGTTCCCCAGGAAGGTTTAAGGGTTCCCAACCTTGGGTCCCTAGCTGTTCCTGGACTACAACTCCCAACAATCCTGACCAGCACAGCTAGCGGTGAAGGCTTCTGGGAGTTTTAGTCCAAGAACATCTGAGGACTCAAAGTTAGGAACCGCTGTCTTAGATCATGACTGAAGAACACCTGGGCTTCCAGAGGCTTGTGGACTACTTATAGTCCAGCAATATCTTGAGGGCCTCATGGCTACCTGGTGTTCTTAACTATTTATTTCCATAACCAAAAGCAGATTTACTAGATCCTGCCCTCCTCTCCCATCAAGATGCTGGCTCTCCCTGCCCAGACTCACCCTGCAGCAGCCTTATGGGCGGCCTCCACCGCATTCCGGATGTCTTTGATGCTCCCGTCTGCCACATAAGCTGCGATTTGGCCAGCATGGTTAAGGATAGGGCAGGAACTCATGGAATCTGGTCTCTTCTGAGCACCGCCGTAGTACAACTTGTAAGTTTGGTCCACGCTGCTGGCAGTCAAAGAAAATAAAAAAAGATGAGTAGATGCATTCTTTACCCTTAGTTTATTGTGCAATAAATTTTTTAAACCATTTTCAAGAAGAAACACAAAATGCTTCAAAGAGTTCCTGGAAAGAACTCTGGGCATTGCACTTCCGCAAGGGTGATGAAAGGAGCCAGTGTGGTCTAGCACAGAGGTCCCCAACCCCCGGACTGTAGCACGGTGCTGGTCCGTGGCCTGAGCTGAACTGGGCTGCGGAGACAGTCCCCCTGCCCTCCCCCGCACGCATTCACTCCAGCACAGCTAATTTGCGCATGCGTGCACTCCGGCACACCTGTGCGAGAGCCACACCACCGCTTGCGCACATGCATGCTCGTTCGCACATGTGCACGAGCGCGGGGGGTGCCCCGCCTTCACCAGCCGGTCTGCAGGGTGAAAAAAGGTTGAGGACCTGATCTAGCAGTTAGTGTGTTACACTAGGACAGAGGAGACCTAGATTCAAATTCCCATTTAACCATGGTAGCTCCCTAGAAGGTGACAATAGCAAATCACCTCATGAACATCTCACATTTCTTATCAAGGTCACAATAAGTCAGAAGCAACCTGATAATGCATAATAACAAGGGGGCTGAGAGATATCATGATGATGAGATCTCTAGCACCTCCCCCCATTAAATTAGAACAAGCTTATTTGGAAGTGGTTCAGGATCTAAAACAACGAACTGTGGGATAGAATTCTGTCCTGCTGTTTTGTGTCTTCACCAAAGCAGATTCTTCTTCTTAAAAAGTAAAAGCCTCCTCTGTATAAATCAGGCAAACTTGTGGGCCAGGGGCTGGTTGCAGCCTCCTCAGGATAATTTTGTAGTCCCCAGCTCTCCTCTGCCCCCCAACCCCCCATTTCCCCCAGTTTCAAAACCCTCACAGGTGGACTAATGCTTTCAGAAGCCTTCCCGAACAGGAATTTAGCCTTTCACAGGGCCCCAAACATCTTTCAATGCCCCAAATTATAAGTTTTTCAAAACCAGAAGCAGATTTTACGATAACCCCTGGTTTCACCGTTTCTGCATTTTTGATTTGTGGACAACAAAATGGGTTCCTTGTCCCACTAATATATCCGACCCTGACATAAAGTCTACTACTACTTTTGTTATTGGGGGAGGGTCGTGAGAGCCATCGAGCATATTTAATCCTGCACTTACCTTGAGATCTTTCTTTCCGCTTCAGACCCAATCAAGTGTGGGGTTTTATTTTCTGCACAGATGAGAGGGAGGCCGGGCCCCTGTGAGGTAGCAAAGGTTTTATAGTTGAGGTCCAGGGTGCTGGGCCGTGGGCGGATCTCCCAGTTGGGTCTCACATATTCATACAGGCCCTGGATCAGAAACAACAACAAAAAACAAGTTCAAGATTTGTTTTTATTTATTAATTACCTATCGATCCAACTGTTCCTTCAATGAGTGCAAGTTGACAGACGTAACTTGCCTCCTCCCACTTTAACTTTACAACAGCCTGATGAGGTAGATCTAAAAGGACAGAGATTGGCCCTTATCAGTTTCACCATCCCCTAGAGACTAGGGACTGAATTTCCTAGGAACTAATCATGCACACTGACCACTTCACACCACATTGATTCTTAACAAATTTAAGGGCCAGGCAAACAAAATGTAAGTCCCTGGTTTCAATTAAGTGGTGACCCATGCAGTAACATGTGTGAATGGATCATCAGGATTCGCACTTGATGCTGAAGAGGCAAACTTAACTTCGTATCCTGAACCTGCCCATGCCTCGTCCATCTGGGCCGAGGAGGATGAGATGAGAAAGACCTGTTTTTTTGGACTGCAATTTATAGAAGTCCACTGCTACTATGACCACTGGCTGCGGGACGCTGGGAGATGTAGTTCAAAAGGCCAAGACTTCTCCCTCAGTCTCATACACAAGTCAGGTTGTCACAAACCTCTTTGCCACCATCCCGACCGTAGCCGCTTTCTTTGTCTCCCCCAAAAGCCGATGCCGCATCTAACATGTTGTGGCCATTGATCCACACCGTCCCAACCTGCAAACTGAGGAGACAAAAAGGGCGGGGGAAGTAAGTGTGCAAAATGTCATCAGCAGAGCTGCTGAAACAGAAAAGACTTTTAAAACATTCTTTGTGAATGGGTGAGGGGAATAAATGCAATTATTGCCTAAGGCAATTCAAGCCAACCAAATCTTCGCTTGAAGCCGAACTATACAGACCTCCACCACACCTGAAAGCAGCAAGCAAGTTTAGGAGGTGATGACCAAGCTATGCAGCAGAGCTCCATCTTCTGAGAGAAAGGAACAGCCAGCTACTCATAAGAAAATGGCTAGGAGACTGTCCCTTTTGTGGCCCAGCATGAACCCCCTGAGGCAGCAGACTCACTTCGCCAAATGGAGAGGCCGGCTCTGTTTTGATGCTGAGAATCCTGTGTGTGGTGCAGAATATAACATAATCCTATGTACTGACCACAATAGGAACAAGCATCAGCATGGAGCTTTGGGAATATTATGGAGGAAAGGATCATTCATAGAATCATATAAAAGTGAAGTGGGAAGGGGCCTACAGGGCCATGAAGTCCAACCACCTGCTCAATCATTGGAGGACATTTAGTAGAGGTTCTAGTCTAGGGCATCTTGGAGGACTCTCAGATTCACATTCTTGGGATGTCTGGGGAAATATTTCATCTGTTCAGTGCAATCTCTTTGATTTCCAACTGTGGATCTACAGCAAAAAGAGCTAGAAATGGAGTGGAGATTCCTGATATTGTAAGGTGTCTTGTATGACTTGAGACAGTAGGGGGGGATATGGGTGAGGGGAATAAATACAGATTGATGCCATTTCCAGAAGGTACATGTGTTAAGTCTGTTGCAGAAGCACCAACCAAGAGTTCTGTGGCACCTTAAAGATTACTGTGTTTTATTTGGCTTAGGTGTTTCATGAACTAGAGCCTGCTTCTGATGCATATGGAGAATAGGGTGGCAGTCTGTGAAAGCTTAAACCAAATAAAACTTGAAAGTTTGTAAAGTCCCACCAGATAGCCATATTTATATAAATCTCTCCCACAGAAATTATCACCCGTAAATAACTTCTTTTGAGAGGGAGCACAACAGCTAACGTGCTAGTTTATTTCCATTTACTATTGATTGTTGTTGTTCTGTTTATTATGTATTATTTATTTGCTGCCTGCACACCTTATTTCCTCTAGCAAGCTCAAAGCAGTGTCTATGACGTTCTTCCTCTCCACTCTGTCCTCACAACAACCCTGTGAGGTAGTGTCAGGCTAAAAGATTACAATTGGACCATGGTCAGCTGCTGAGTTTCACACCAGCTCCATCTTCTGAGAGAAAGGAACAGCCAGCTACTCATAAGAAAATGGCTAGGAGACTGTCCCTTTTGTGGCCCAGCATGAACCCCCTGAGGCAGCAGACTCACTTCGCCAAATGGAGAGGCCGGCTCTGTTTTGATGCTGAGAATCCTGCGTGTGGTGCTGAATATAATATAATCCTATGTACTGACCACAATAGGAACAAGCATCAGCATGGAGCTTTAGGAGATTATGGAGGAAAGGATCATTCATAGAATCATATAAAAGTGAAGTGGGAAGGGGCCTACAGGGCCATGAAGTCCAACCACCTGCTCAATCATTGGAGGACATTTAGTAGAGGTTCTAGTCTAGGGCATCTTGGAGGACTCTCAGATTCACATTCTTGGGATGTCTGGGGAAATATTTCATCTGTTCAGTGCAATCTCTTTGATTTCCAACTGTGGATCTACAGCAAAAAGAGCTAGAAATGGAGTGGAGATTCCTGATATTGTAAGGTGTCTTGTATGACTTGAGACAGTAGGGGGGGATATGGGTGAGGGGAATAAATACAGATTGATGCCATTTCCAGAAGGTACATGTGTTAAGTCTGTTGCAGAAGCACCAACCAAGAGTTCTGTGGCACCTTAAAGATTACTGTGTTTTATTTGGCTTAGGTGTTTCATGAACTAGAGCCTGCTTCTGATGCATATGGAGAATAGGGTGGCAGTCTGTGAAAGCTTAAACCAAATAAAACTTGAAAGTTTGTAAAGTCCCACCAGATAGCCATATTTATATAAATCTCTCCCACAGAAATTATCACCCGTAAATAACTTCTTTTGAGAGGGAGCACAACAGCTAACGTGCTAGTTTATTTCCATTTACTATTGATTGTTGTTGTTCTGTTTATTATGTATTATTTATTTGCTGCCTGCACACCTTATTTCCTCTAGCAAGCTCAAAGCAGTGTCTATGACGTTCTTCCTCTCCACTCTGTCCTCACAACAACCCTGTGAGGTAGTGTCAGGCTAAAAGATTACAATTGGACCATGGTCAGCTGCTGAGTTTCACACCCGAGGAGACTTGAGCCCAAATCTCCTGAGATTCAGTCCATCTCTCTAACCACCACACTACACAGTTTTAACTTGCAACAAGGTGTTATTTAAAAAACAACAGGGGAGTTTTCAAAGACTGTCACCCTTCAGCTGTAAGTCTGCAGCAATACAGTGTGTTCTGCCACTTTGCTTAGCGGCAGAGGTGGGTAACTTTAGCCCCCCCCCCAGTCGCTGGGACGACTGGCGTATCCAACAGAAAATGAGGAAGATTTCATTTTCCCATCCCTGCTGTACTGCATATTTAGTTGTGATCTGAGAGTGTGTTTCCCGGGTGAGACCTGCAAATGTCTATGCAGCTGCTACCTAGGAATGAAATTGTTCAGTTTCACTGAACCCTGAATCTCTTGGCCTATCGGAGGGGGATGCCTTGATTAAATTTCTGAAGGAGAGATCTGGAGTGGCAGAAACGGGGAACCCCAGCAGGAAAGACACCGGAGGTCAGATCTTTATGCTGTAGGAAAGAGGTATAGTCTGGAATGGGGAGGGGGGAACCCACCTGCGAGCAACTTCGAGAGCCAAGGAAAGGGTTTCTGTCCACACACTGGCCACCAGCCCAGATGGGGTGTTATTTCCCAAAGCAATTGCTTCCTTTGCAGTCCGGAAAGTCAACGAGACCAGCACAGGTCCAAAGATCTGGAACAGAATGCATTGAACACATTCTGAATAATGAAAAAGGCATGCACAAGAGTCAAAGAAATCTATTTACTGGGTTCAAGTACTGCCCAAGAATCATATTGCAAATGTAGACTCTAGTGAGAAAACTGGGTGCAAAAAAGGGTTTTCCATTAAAGAATGGACAAAGTTTCTAGTCCTTCTGCTCCCACTCTCACCACTCTAAAATGGAAGAATGCTGGAAAAGTCCTCCAGAACATCACCTGTTTCGCACCTCTCTCTAAATCTATTTACTGGGTTCAAGTACTGCCCAAGAATCATATTGCAAATGTAGACTCTAGTGAGAAAACTGGGTGCAAAAAAGGGTTTTCCATTAAAGAATGGACAAAGTTTCTAGTCCTTCTGCTCCCACTCTCACCACTCTAAAATGGAAGAATGCTGGAAAAGTCCTCCAGAACATCACCTGTTTCGCACCTCTCTCTAAGGATATCCTTTTAAATTACCAAAAAAATTGGAATTGCAGCTCTTGGGAGTCCCTAGGAGTGATCATCCACTTCTTAAATATATAACAGCTGTCTCTCCAATACTGTTTAACACCACAAATATTCATTTTTTTAAAAAAAAGAGTGATTTCTAATTATTTCTATCTGATTTTTTCCCCTATTGGTCAAAGTCTCCCATTCCCCTGCTTCACAGCCTGCGTAATGCAGACGAGTAAGAGTTGGGTGCAACTACAGTCGTGCACCACTTAACAATTGCCTCGCTTAAGGAGGAAATAGCTTTACGATGAGGTTTTTGCGATCGCAAAAGCGATTGCAAAACAATGTTTTAAATGGGTTTTTTTCGCTTTGCAATGATCGGTTCCCTGTTTCAGGAACCGATTCTTCGTAAAATGATGTTTTTTGAACAGTTGATCAGGGGCTTCAAAATGGCCGCCGGCTTTCAAAATGCCCCCCCCCGCTGTTTTCTAGGGACGGATTCCTCACTTTACAGGCACCAAAAATCGCCGCTCTATGGAGGATCTTCGCAAAACAAGCAGGTATTCAGCCCATTGGAATGCATTGAAGGGTTTTCAATGCGTTTCAATGGGCTTTTTTGTTTTGTTTGACGACGTTTTCACTCTACAGTGATTTCGCTGGAACGAATTAACATCGTCAAGTGAGGCACCACTGTATTCCAGATGGCACTGGTCATCGCTCTCAGTCCTAGTGCCTCTCTTATAGAGCTGAGGATCCACCACTTCCTGTCTCCTCCTCTGAGTCTGTTCTAATCCTGAACCTGTTCATGGCTCTTTCCTGAGAGTGAGCTAAACTCCTCCTCTCTGGGCCAAGTGCTCAGGCCTTGAGATGTGGTTCAGGACAAGCTTTTCTGTCAAATATTTTTTAAAAGAAACCCAACAGCTTTTGCTTAAGCTTAACCTGCCTGGTTTATTGCTCCAGAGGGGGGAAAAATCAGTAACATTTAAAAGCTCATAGGAACGGTGTTGCTGTTTATTGTGTTAACTAAAAGATCTCCTCACTGAGCTTTTATTCAGAACCAATACTGCTCCCTTATTAAAATGTTTGTATCACAGTTCTTTTTTTCTGCCTCAGGCGGGAGCCCTTCCCTCATTAGCAGCACATTTACTGTATTTCCTAGACAAAACTCACAGGTTGACACACAAGGAGTGAGATTAGAAAAGTTGTTTAAAAAAATAAATTCTGGGAATTCTAATTCTGAAGTAAAAATTTTCAGCTCCGAACATGGACAACAATCATGTACTGTATTGCCCCCCGTCCTTCCACTGCATATCTAGAAAGAAAGAAAAGAACTAATTTCATCTTGAAAACCATGCCATCCAACTTTTAGATGACATTGTTCCCTCCCCCTTTTTGTAGAGACCAGTCCTTCCCTAGTCCCCTCCTTTTTTTAAATGACCAAAAAAAAAAATGGAATTGCAGCTCTTGGGAATCCCTAGGGCTTCTTAAATATACAACAGCTGCTTCTCCAATACTGTTTAACACTCCAAATATTCATTTTTTAAAAAGTGTGATTTCTAATTATTTCTAACTGCTTGTTTTTTCATTGTGGGAAACATTTTTAGTCCTCTGTGAGGTCCTGGAGGATTTTGGGAACAGAATCCCAGACCTGTCAAAGTCTCCCATTCCCCTGCTTTACAGCCTGTGTAATGCAGACAGGCCTGCAGTTCCTCAGTGCAAAGGAAAATGTGCTCTGCCGATGCTCAGAACTGCTTTATTGCCAATCTGCCTACTCTTGAGTAGTTAAACAGTGGCCCACACCAGCCCTGGCATCCTCCTACCTCTTCTTTCACACAACGGGAAGTAGTGTGCACGCCAGTGATTAAGGTCGGAGGGTAGAACAGCCCACTTGATGGAAGAGATGCCCAGGCCTGGTAGACCTGAAGAGAGGAGAAAAGGAAATTATTTATTTTCAAATATTTATTTTCAAAAAAGGAACTACTACAGCTGCCTCTTCCATCTGTGAGACGGTTGCTACTAAGTGTGCGCCACCCCTGCCAGCTTGTACATGGACTCCTCCTCTTCCTCTTCCTCAGATATCCTCACCTTTGGAGTTTATGTATTTGCATAAGAGCATGGGGGGGAGAAACAGTGGGGTGGGTGAATCGACAGCAACAGAGTAAAGGAGGAGGTGGTGCCCCCAGTGAGTGAAGGGACAGTGTGGCAGTAGCTTCAGGGCCAGCCTTGTTGGGGAGCAGCATAATTTGCTGCTCCTGCAGATTCTGCACAAAGCAGCTTCCTCCACTCTACCTAACGATAGGGCCAGCCCTGCAAGGCAGCTAATGGTAATAATACAACAAAAACGGTGAAAGAAGGAACACAGGAAAGGACATGTATTTTATAAGCTGGCAGCAGGGAAGGGGTGCTAACAGGGCACTTTGAAAATCAGATGCCAATTTAAGATTGTGTTAACACAATATGGAGAGAAGGCACCTGGGTCTATATTTTTTAGAGCAGTTAAAACCTTTCTCCTCCCTAAAAGTTAGATTAGTATTAATAAATAAATGAATAAATAATCAAAGAAAAAATCTCAAGCATCTCTTTCTCTAGTACCTAGGATTCTACTTGTTCCCCAAAATTCCAACCCCAAACTGGGTCTCATGAAGCCCCATACAGCCCCCATAGGCATCAATCTTCATCCAGGGGATTGAAGTCCTGCAAGGAAAAACAGAATCTCAAAGAGCCCCTTCATCAGACTAGAATCCCCATCTTCATCCAGTTCCTTTTTTCTGCTACAACTCCCAGAATCTGCCAACAGAGAGGCCAGGAGCGCCAGCACCTCCTCTCTTTACCTCGGCCCCTTCAGCCCGAGCATCTTCCACCAGTCTCTCGATAGCATCTCGCTGCTTCTCGCTAGCCAAGGCACCCAAGTCCACGGCTTTGTCCAGAGAGTCCCCCACGCGGAGCTGTCCCATTCGGCACTTCAGGCGTTGAATGAAGTCTTTGGCAATGGATTCCTGCAGGAGAAGCTGAGACCCAGCATTGGAGATCTGAACATACAGACGGACACGTGTTAATGAATGCCTTGTATTCCAGGAGCAGGTAGTGCTTCAGTTGTTGGGGTGGCAGGAATCTACCCCACAGACAGTAAGTAACCTAGTTGTTAGAAGCAATTCCATCAGGGCTATAGAACAGCAGAGGAAAAGAGAAGAGAAGCTGTTCTATCATTTCTGCTAAGAAACTACAGTGGTGCATCGCTTAACGGGCGTCCCGTTTAACGACAAATCCGCATAGCGACAATTTTTTGCAATCGCTTTTGCGATCGCATTGCGATGATTTAGATAGGGAAAAATCGCTTTGCGATGATCGGTATCCTGCGATGATTTCCCAACAGCTGATTGGCGGTTCAAAAATGGCCACCAGGTAAAAAAATGGCCGCCCGCTGTGTTTTCGCCTGGATTCCTCGCTTACCGGGCAGCAAAAATGGCCGCCGTATGGAGGATTTTCGCTTAAAGGTGAGTTTGAAGCCCATAGGAATGCACTGAAGGGGTTTCAACGCATTCCTATGGTTTTTTAAACCTGCATAGCGATGAAATCACTTTGCAGCGATCTTTGCTGCACGGATGATCATCGCTATGCAGGGCACCACTGTAGTTGTTTTCAGCCTTTCCACAGCTGTTAACTAGGGCAGCAATTCCACCAAGCTACTAGAACAGTTTCTCTCCTGGCTGGTGACTGCCTGCCTGCTTGTTTGCTTGCCTGCATCCTTGGTCTGTTCCCATCCCTTTTTCCTTCTGCTATCATGGAAGCCTGAGGGCAAGGAATATCACACCTTTCATCTTTGTGACCTCCTCTGTGAACCTTTGGTGAGAGCTACATAGTAGAGTAAAATGCTTTAGAAAAATCAAATCAATTAGGAAGCGCTGTCTAAAACTATTATTTGGCTTGGTTTAAAAATATGCCCCATTCATTACAGTGAATATATGTGTACGAGTGCTTCTACATTTTTATACACTTACATAGCCTTGATCATGTGCAGTCTCCCTCTGCCTTTACAGGTTTTTAATATGTTTCCTTTCTTTTCTGGAAGTGAGAAAACTAGATGGCCGTTTTGCTATGCCTGGGACAGACAGCCACAAAGGGCCACCTGTTTTTCCAGTCCCCACCTTCTGACTCTCTTGAAAACGGCACTTTTGGCTTCCAACGCAACCAGAAGTGATTCAGAAAAAAAGTGGTTTGGGAACTGACTGGGCTAGGTAAAATTTAGGGGCTGTATCTTACTAAAAGGCTTCCAGTTGCTAACTTCACCATGAAAAAAGGAAAGCAATGGGAAGGTGTCCCTCCACATATCCCTTTTGGGTGAATAAACCCTCAACCCAGCGACTTCCACGAGACCCATGCCTCAAAATAACATACCGGCCCCCGGTTCAGCCAGACGGCGTCTGCCAACCCGTCCACAGCACTATCCAGGTCTGCCGAGTCAAAGACGAAGAAGGGTGACTTTCCTCCAAGTTGGAGAGAAAGCTTCTTGCCGGTCCCAGCGGTGGCGCGGCGCAGGCTGCGGCCCACCTGTAGTGATGACATCGTTCCGTGGGCATCAGGAAGGGACACATTTAGAGAGCTGTTCCTCTCTCATTCTGCGTTCCCAAACGTATAAGAGCCCCTACAAAAATGGCATAAAACCTCTCAGCCACAATCATTGCTTCTGGCTGGGAACACAGGGCAAACTTGTGTTCTGCCAGCTTTCCTCAAAACGAGCACCCTTGCTGATGTGTTCACCCCAGACCCTCACCAACAACAGCCAACTACAGGGGCTACTCCAGTCCCACACACAGGGATGATGGCATGCCAACAAACCTTCGGTTAAAGCGGCTGAAAGAAGCTGAAGTCCCAATTCTCCAGCCACCTTGTTTCCAAATACTAGGCCCTAAGAAAGCAAAGATGGAAAGCCATGGAGGCTTAAACACAGTTCAGATTACCTCACCTGGGGGAGAAAAACCTGCCTTCCACAGAAGAAGCTCCATTCTCGGCTGAAACCAGAGCTTGGGGCCAGCGCTATAAAAACTTCTTTAGCTGTTCATCTCTTGCCACTTTGGTGCAGACCAAGGGCTAACAACATATTTTAAAACAGCAATGGAAGCATTAATGGATGCTTAACTTTACAGAGGACTGAATAACCCTTTGTTTTCTCAGAAATACACAGTCCAGGAGGCAACTGCCCACACCTCTTGGGATGCTCAGAGCAAGAACAGGCAAAGAGTGGTCCCGAAGGTTACCTTGGCAACCCCCAGTCCTCCCTTCCACACTCTCTGTCAGCCTCTAAAAGAGGAGACTGACCTTTAAACTAGGCAAGAGGGCCACTCTCTCACTTGCATTATTTGAAACCTCCAAATATCATTCTCAGGTGTACTTCTAGCTCCTTCCACTTTCATTTGTGGCTTCCAGAATGTCTAAGAGGCCAGAAAATTGGACCCTGGATCCATCACAGTTGACCCTCTCCCCCACAAAAGTCTGTTAATGGGGTACTCTAAACATATCAGGAAGTTTTGTGTGGCTCCTCACACTCTTCCTAGACTGTTCAGTTGTTGGAATCGAGGTCTCGCACTGTTCCAAGTGGGGCGACTCTTATTTTCACGTAAAAATGGAACAGAAAACAGACACCTTGCCTGTTTTAAATAAACAAGGAGAAGGGAATAACAATAACGTAAGACTTAACAAAACAACCACGCAAGAACTTGCTTCGAGAATCCAGGGAACGGTAACGAGGTGCTTATCAAGGTAATAAATGAGAAATGTGAGAAGTTACTTTTGAAAAGTAGCATTCTAAGCTCTTGCTGAAAGAGCTGATTTATGTTCAGGCCAGACCACAGCAGGCATTCTCTGACCTCTCTCACAACCAAATTCCTTGCATTATTCCCACACCTCCATGGATACTGAGGTAATCATATGGAATCCTTCACTGCCTCAGAACAACCACATGTGCCAAATAGTGGTGGTCGGCAAGCTTTGGCCCTCCAGGTGTTTCAGGCTTCAGCTAGTATAGAAACCTGCATCACAACAACCAATACTAAAGGATTGTAGGAGCGGTGGCCTGAAATTCCTGGATAGCCAAAGATTCCCAACCTCTCCATAAGGAAAAATAAGATGACACTCCTAGGACAGTATCTTTTTGCCATACAAGGTGCTGAAAGGGGTCTAGGGCCATACATACATAGCAGTTTGAGGGCCTATGAGGTCCAAACAACAACAACCTAGTTACGCTTTAAGCCGCTCTCTAGCATCTTTGAAATAAGAACACCACTTACCTCAAGGTAAGACTTAACAAAACAACCACGCAAGAACTTGCTTCGAGAATCCAGGGAACGGTAACGAGGTGCTTATCAAGGTAATAAATGAGAAATGTGAGAAGTTACTTTTGAAAAGTAGCATTCTAAGCTCTTGCTGAAAGAGCTGATTTATGTTCAGGCCAGACCACAGCAGGCATTCTCTGACCTCTCTCACAACCAAATTCCTTGCATTATTCCCACACCTCCATGGATACTGAGGTAATCATATGGAATCCTTCACTGCCTCAGAACAACCACATGTGCCAAATAGTGGTGGTCAGCAAGCTTTGGCCCTCCAGGTGTTTCAGGCTTCAGCTAGTATAGAAACCTGCATCACAACATCCAATACTAAGGGATTGTAGGAGCTGTGGCCTGAAATTTCTGGATAGCCAAAGATTCCCAACCTCTCCCATAAGGAAAGATAAGATGACACTCTTAGGACAGCATCTTTTTGCCATACAAGGTGCTGAAAAAGGTCTAGGACCATACATATGTAGCAGTTTGAGGGCCTATGAGGTCCAAAAACCACAACCTAGTTACGCTTTAAGCCTCTCTCTAGCATCTTTGAAATAAGAACAGCACTTACCTCAACACAACCAGCAAAAGCCACTTTGTCGATGTCTGGATGGGCAGCCAAGGCCTCTCCCAGTCCTTCATCGCCCGTGACAACATTGAGAACCCCAGGAGGTAACCCCACCTGGGCACAGATCTCAGCCAGGAGCAGAGCTGTAAGCCGGGTAGAGCTGGCTGGTTTTACGACCACGGTGTTTCCTGTTCGGCAAGGCAGAAGGCAGGGTGTGGTGGAATAAAATGCCATCAACCTCAGTCAAAGATAGGAAAAAAAGGGGCGTAGCTGTCTAGCACAGAAGGAGGCCACTAGTTTGAGGGGAGGCTCCTTTGTACAGCGGGACTAATTTCTAGTTTCACAAACTTTTTATAGCTCCCCGTCTATCACTCAATAATATAGAAGCCAAAGAGGTAACTGTAGCAAAATGCCATTAGATGGTTGGGGGGCAAAGATGATTTGAGAAAGATCTTGCTAGAACGTTTACAAAAAGGTGAATTGTATGGAGAAGGGGGCTAAAAAAACTCCATCTGGATATAATGAAACTAAGGCGCTGCAAGGCAGAATAAACAAAAGAACATTATTCTGCTCATAACACATGATTAACATGTGGAATTCATCCCCACAGGGTGTGGAGGGAAGAGCCAGCTGCTGAAAGAGATTAAAGAATTCCCTGGGAGAAGAGGTCTGTAAGCAGGCAGTAACTGTGAAAGCTAAATATTTATTTATTTATTTGAATTATACCCCACCCATCTGGTCTAAAAGACCACTCTAGGCGGCTAAAAAAAAGCAAAGCGTGCTGCTTATATACTGCCCCATAGCACTTCAAGCACTCTCCGGGCAGTTTACAATTTTAATTATACAGGCTACACATTGCCCCCCCAGCAAGCTGGGCACTCATTTTACTGACCTCGGAAGGATAGAAGGCTGAGTCAACCTTGAGCCAGCTACCTGGGATTGAACCCCAGGTCGTGAGCACAGTTTTGGCTGCAGTACAGCGGTTTAACCACTGCGCCACAACCAAAGAAATCTCAGGCACAAATGGAGACCTGTTTTCAAACTGGATTTAGACTAATTATAAAAACAAATTAATTCCAAAATCAATAGGGGCATGATTAATATCTAAACTTCAGTAAGAGAGAGAACAAAAAGAAAAATAATTTATTGCCCTTTCATGACACCCAAATCTGCTGCCATTCTTTCTGCCTAACAGTGCAGCTAGTCCTGGCAGTCCAAGGCTCCCTTGCTGAACTTTTGGGCCAAGTGGGATCTGAACCCGGGTCTCACCAGTCTTAGACCAAAAGCCTAAGCGCTATACCTTTTTCACTACCTGCTTGGATCAATAGAGAGACTTCTTTGCTTTTACGTACCCATGGCCAGCGCCGGACACACCTTCCATGCCAGGGTCAGCAAAGGAAAATTCTGAGGGACAAGAGCAGCCACAACTCCTGTTGGGAAAACACTCAGGTTTTTCATCATGTGAAGGTAGAATCTAGGTAGCCTTCTATAGCCTGATGCTTCACAAATGCATTCAACTACAACTCCCAGCATTTCCCAGACAAGATGAGAGAACCTGACCTAAAGCAGTAAAAAGAAAGAAGGCAAACCAAGACACCTGAGTATATAAAGAAACAAGGAGGGCTAGTGCGATAGGATGTTTGCTGTTATGTCTTTAACTTTATTTGTTTAAATAAGGTAGCACCAGAAGTCCAGAGACAAGATTTCAGACCGTAGGACCCACCAGGGTCAAATGAGCTACAAACCCACCACGATTCAAGGGCTTTATAGGCTGCACCTTCTTTACCTTTGGTACAGTTGGAGGATCTTGGATGCAATGTTTATTTTATTGTTTTAGTTGCCCTGGCCTTGTTTTCTTCTACAGAAAAGCAGATTAGAAATATGATACAGAAATATATCATTAAATAAAGTGTATGGGGACAAGGTGTTCCTCCTTTCTAAAAGCATTATTTGAATAAATCGTCACTTCTGGAGACTTTGTTGAAAGTAATGTAAGTTTATGGTTCCAATTTAGTCAACAGTGACAAAAACCCAAAGAGAAATAAGAACCAACTCTCAACTCTGGAGAGCTAATATCCTACAAAGTAGAGATGTGAAGGCATTGGGGTGGGGGGACTGACCTCATTAAAAAAAACAAATTTCTTTTTTTTCTGTAATTTTTAGAGGTCTTTGCTAGGTCTTCACATCTCTGCCATGAAGAACCAAGGTTTAAGAGAGCATATACGTATATGGATGCAGTTCTTGACTATGGAACAGGAGACAAGGGGTGGCTTGGAGTTACTGGTTTTTCAAAAAAAAGGAACATGCCAGGGGAGACTGCAATCATACCTTGCAGCCCAAATTTAAGAGACACATCCATGTACTTGAATCCCAGGTTGTTTGCTTCCGATGAGGACAATAAACATCTCACATCTAGCACCGTGGTAACATTTTACTCAGCGCTTATGGGGATAAAAGCACACAACACTGGCAAAAAAATGTGGCTCAGAATGATGGTGAAGAGGTTCTCTCTAGACTAGGGCTGCAGCCCAAAATCCAACTCACCAAGGGGCTTCCAGTTCTTCATCTCTACTTCCATCAGCTGGGCCCAGCCTGCATGATGGTAGAAGTGTCGGATAACCAAAGGCAGGTCTGTGTCTCGAGCTTCCCGGATTAATTTCCCGCTATCTAAACTCTCCAGAAGGGTGAATAGCCGTTGGTGCTTCTGGATGGTCCGGGCCACGCTGAGGGAAGAGATGTACCATGTCATGATGGCTACATGGCTACACAGAGAAAAGATCAAAGTACCAAGTGTGTGGTTCCATATTTCAGCACCGTGTTTGTCTGAAGTAGGAGAGGACAACATGCTGCTTCTCAGTTTGTATGTGCCCCCACAGACCTAAATGTTATCACTCTGGGAGCCCTCTACACCCTCACTTTTTTTTAACTAAAAAGGCTTAAAATATTCCTTTATACCTTCTAAAGGGCATGGAGATGATTTGTGTCATATTTTATGCGACCCACACACTCATGGGTCCCTCTTCACTTCAAAACAGTTTTAATAAATGTTTTGAGAGCACAAGTAGATTTTTTTTCCAGTTTTATAAAACAATATTTTGTAATAAAAAATATTGGGGGGAGTTGGTATGGTCCTCCAAGATCCAGGAAAGAAGGTGTATAGCATCTGGAGGCTGCCCATTCCATTTCCAAGGTGAGTTGTAATATCTTCAATAATAAACAGCCCCGATGAGTACATCAGCGTTATAAATATTGATCAGCTTCTCCGGCTGCCCAAATTTCACACCAACTACTCTTGGAAATGCAGGTTGAGAAGGCAGCTGAAAATTCTGTCAGAGATCCCTCAGGCACCCGAGCCTTGAACTGCTGTTTCTACAGATCTCTTAGGAGGAAGGAAATTCTGTCAAGCCAAAACCACCGATTCTTCATAAGAAGAAGAATAAACCCAGTGAAAGAGGTGCCATGATAATTCTCGAAGAACCAGGAAATAATTTCACGAATCAGCAGGAATGGCAGTTTCTGTAGCAGGAATGGAAAGAGGCGCAACTTCAGGTTATTAAATGTCTCGATACAGCCCTGGTACAGCCTCACTGACAGCTGAAACGTATCAGTCAGGAATGGGTGTTAACCTGAAAGAGACAGGGGTGGATTCTGCCTAAGCTTGTTCCCATAAAAATCCAGCTGTATGACTTTTAAATTGATCCAAGGATTAGGGACAGTGTGGCTCGGGCCTGAAGGACGTTTGTTCTTCAGATATTGGTCAGGTACCTCCTCAAAGCATTTTGCTGCCTGAGATAGAGGACAAGTTGGTATCCTGCTTCCTCTACGTTCCTGAAGAGGCCTAGACCAGTCATTTCAATTTAGCTGACAGGAAAGGACCCGCCGCCAAACCAGAGAACAGCAAAGCAGGCGTAAAGCTAGATATGTCAACAATCTACCAGTTTCCCACCACCACCATCTGCTACCTCCCTTTGCCTCATGGTAAGGGTTTGCTCGGAGGACTGACCCCTTGCAACTGCCACGTACTTGTATAGGTGCCGGGCTCTGATATGGCCAGGCAGCTGGCTCCAATTTTCAAAGGCTTTGGTGGCAACTTCAACTGCTATGTCGACATCTTCTCTGCTTCCCTGAAGGGTGGTGGCCAGAAGCTCCCCTGAGGGGTTTTGGGGGAGAAAGCAAAGAGGGGCCATTTCAGAACAAATTGAAAGACCTGTGAAACCATGACCACAACAACAATCAAGAGCAAATGCTACAAAAGCTTCTAAATGAAAATTGCACCAGTATTCTTAATAACCTGAGGTTTCTTCTTTCAAGAGAGAGAAAACATGAGCAGAATTTGTCTCCACGCTTAGGGAATGCCCAGAGAACAGCAGGGCAGGCGTAAAGCTAGATATGTCAACAATCTACCAGTTTCCCACCACCACCATCTGCTACCTCCCTTTGCCTCACGGTAAGGGTTTGCCCGGAGGACTGACCCCTTGCAACTGCCACGTACTTGTATAGGTGCCGGGCTCGGACATGGCCAGGCAGCTGGCTCCAACTTTCAAAGGCTTTGGTGGCAACTTCAACCGCTACGTCAACATCTTCTCTGCTGCCCTGAAGGGTGGTGGCCAGAAGCTCCCCTGAGGGGTTTTGGGGGAGAAAGCAAAGAGGGGCCATTTCAGAACAAATTGAAAGACCTGTGAAACCATGACCACAACAATCAGGAGCAAATGCTGCAAAAGCTTCTAAATGAAAATTGCACCAGTATTCTTAAATACCTGAGGTTTCTTCTTTCAAGAGAGAGAAAACATGAGCAGAATTTGTCTCCACGCTTAGGGAATGCGAGCCAAAACGACAATGTGGATGTCACAAGGCCGATCTATATTCTATTATATTTCAGTAAGTCAGGAAAGAATTAACCAAAACACAGAGGAAACACACATCAGGGTTGACCAAGGACAGTGACGCTGCCTGAGATCCTAAGATGAATTACTGTAATACTCTCTAGACATGGGGTTGCCCTTGAAGCCAGCACTGAAACTGCTAGAGGTCCAGAATGCAGTGGCCAGACAGGTGTCAGTTGTTAGCAAGTCTGATCACATCTCATCAGTGCTGACTTGTCTGCACTGGCTGCCAGTTGTTATCAGCACCAAATTCAAGGTGCTCATACTAGTATCTACAGCCCTTAAGCAAGTCTGATCACATCTCATCAGTGCTGGCTTGTCTGCACTGGCTGCCGGTTGTTATCAGCACCAAATTCAAGGTGCTTGTACTAGTATATACAGCCCTTAATTGTTTGGGGCCTCAGTACCTGTCAGAGCATCTCTCCCTCAGAACATCCGCTCATGCCACCTGCAGGCCTTGCTTCTCTGGGTTGCTATGGCGAGAGAGGCAAAGAAGTCACCAGGAAACAGGCCTTCTCGGCTGTGGCTCCCACCTTATAGAACTGGTTCCCAGTGGAAGTTCCTCAGGCCTCTTCTCTCCCATCCTTTAAGAGGATGCTTGACTATTGTTCCAAGAAACGTCTAAGGGCATCCTCCAACAAATTATTTTTACACATGTTCCCATAGACTGTCATCACTTGGGCTTTATTTGGTTATTTTATTTGTGTTTCTTAATGTTTTAGGTTACTGCTTTTATGTGTAAACTGCCTAGAGTAGTGGGTGGGAGGAAGGGAGGAAAGAAAGAAAGAAAAGAGCTTCTCCCTCAAAAAAACCCAGCATCCCCTCCCAAATAACAACAACAACAACAACAAAAAACCAGCATCCCCCCCAAATACTGCAAACTGAATTTAATGGTTTAAATGGTGACTGAAATCTTTCTTGCAAACTGATCATAGGATATCCTTCTTTGTTGTATTATGAGACAGTATGCTAATTAACAAAGCATAGCAAACAGAGCCCTATCTCTAGCATTCTGCCAGTGCTTTGTGCTGAAGCTACTCTTGTGGTGACCGCCTCACTTTGTCTAATGTTAGGGCCAGCCTTATCTGACTCCACATGCATATAACTTCCCAACTATGCAGCCCTGATTTTGGTGACTATGATATGTTGTTCAAATGTTTTCAAACTATTTTCACAATCGCAAAGGCTATGAACTTGCCTAAAAATAGGTAAGTCCAGGGTACGCAAGAACATTGATTTTCTGTATTCTGCCTGAGTCTACACTGTGAAATCACAGATCTATGTGATGTGCAAATTCACATAATTCATCCCCAATCTCTCTACCTGTGGTGGGATTCTTGGTGGCGTACGTCTCCCTGCCCTCCGGCTTCAGCCACTTGCCATCGACAAAATGCCCAAAGCTCCGGCCATGAGATTCCAGCCAGGACTGAAAAGATAAAGAGGAAAATGAAGGATATATACTGGGTGGAGATGGTAAATGATTAGAGAGAAGTCCAAACTGAAATGAACATAATTCAAAATCCACTGTACACAAAAAGTACAGTGGTGCCTCGCATAGCGATCACTTCATTTTATGACAAAATCACTTTACAACACATTTTTTGCAACCCCAAAGAGATCGCTTTGCGATGTTCCCTATGGGGGAATTTCGCTTTGCGATGATCACAGGGAAGCGATCATCGCAAAACCTCCATTTTCGGCCAGCTGATCGGCGGTTTCAAAATGGCCGCCCGCTGTGTTTAGGGACGGATTCCTCGCTTACCAGGCAGCGAAAATGGCTGCGCTATGGAGGATCTTCGCTGAACGGTGGTTTTTAAGCCCATAGGAATGCATTGAACGGGTTTCAATGCGTTTCTTTGGGCTTTTTAATATTGCATAGCGACGTTTTCGTTCTGCAGCGATTTTTGCAGAACAAATTAACGTTGTTATGTGAGGCACCACTGTATTGTGTACATTAAAAGTTTCTCTATTACTGAACATAGCTTTCAATTCTTTTGATCTAACCAACTTATAAATACCCATGAATGCATAAATAAATTTCTGGAATAACCAGCTGGAAAGTTCTTAGATGACAAGGGAAAGAGATTTCATACCCTGAAATATCGAGGAACTGCTCCCAGATAACACTGACATTCATGGTATGGGAATCTTTCATGGTATGGGACTTGCCACTCTCAAGTCCCCTCCCAATCTTAAGTTCTACACAGACCAATTAGTAGCTTGAATCACTACAGAGCATATTTATCAGATTTATTTTGTGTATTAGCCTCTTTTTCTTCAGTAACAGCTGGTCTGAGTCAATAAGCAGCCTACACATGACACATCAAGAGTGATGAGGCTGAGGATTTCATTTGGTTTCCAAAATTCCCAACTTTCTTCACAAACAGGGCAAGAATAATTTGAAATTTAAAATAATTTAAACGTGGGTGATGATGAAACAGACACCCATCAAATGCAGAAGGTTTTTTTAGTTCTTTGGCATTCAGTCATGTCTGTGGTGCTAAATTAAGACGGCACATCTTTCATCACCCAGAATTCTCCTGTTGACCATCTATCTAACAGAAAGAAATATAGAAATCCTTTCTGGTTTGAGAATAGTTGTACCTATTGCATTTAGCTTTTCCCCCATTCCAGTTATTTTAATCCTAAATTCTCTCTACCCTATCTATGAATAAATTTTGAAATCTTGGTAAGATTTTTTTTAAAAATGAATTGCATGAAATGTCATCCATCTGCTAAATGCAATGTTCTTGTGACAGCACGTAACAGCAACACTGCATTTAGGAAATGGCTGAAATTTCATGCAGTTCATTAAAAAAAAACCCTCACCAAGACTTGCAAATTTATTCATAAATAGGGTGGTGAGAATTTGGGTTTAAAATACTGTAACTGGAATTTGGGGGTAGGAACCTAAATAGATTTCTCTACTTTCCATACTGCAGGCTTCCCTGTCAGTGGCAAATCAGACCATCACTGCTAAATATGTCTAAAAATTGAGGAAACAGATGGCTTTTACAGAGAAGGTATTTCCACAAGACTTAAATCTCTTAACAAGATCTACCACCGGCTGAATCTACTACCTTGCATTTAGAAACCATACGACCTAAATATTAAACGGCAGACCAATTGTTCCCAAGCTTCAGACCCCCAAATGTTTTTTCTCCTGCAACTCCCAGAAGCCCTAAGCAAAAGTCAATGATCAGGATTTTGTTTAAGAAGATCTGAGCCACTTCCCACTCCCAAGTTTGGGAGCCCCTGAAGCAGACCCCATCCTAAAAGGCAAGATCAGAACTCACAACTCCCAATGTGAAAAGTAATATTATGTATGAACTTTAGCAGAATCAGTGCTTTTTGTTTGTTCTGTTGAGACAGAGGAAAATCCTAATTTTATTAAACTCAAACTTGGTGGCAGGCACCTACTTAGTTTTACAGCACCTACTTTCCACGACCAGAGCCTTAAAGGACAAACCCCTGCGCTTATGGTTGAAAGGTGGCAGAAATTCGAAGGACCCAGGGAAGCTTTTACTAAGCCCTGGCTGGAGGGACAGAAAGTCTGGCCAGATATAAAGCAGCTCCCTGTTTTCCAGTCAGAGCTCCAAAATTGCAACTCCTGGGACTGTAAAGTTACAGTCCAAATAATAATAGTAATGATAATAGTAGTCATGATAGCAACAACAACTCTTTCAACTTTTGGTTCTCATGATTTCACTGTCACAAAATATTACAGCCGATTCCTACCACCAACTGCCCTCTGGACTTCTGGAGGTGAAAGCTGGTTGCAATGCAGCAGGACTTGCCTAGAGATCCGAGAGGTCACAAATACAGTGGTGCCTTGCTAAACAATGTTAATCCGTTCCGTCAAAATCGTTGTCTTGTGAAAACGTTTAGCGAAGCACGGTTCCCCATTGGAATGCATTAAAATCCATTTAATGCATTCCAATGGGGCGAATCGTTGTCATTCAGCAAAGATCGCCCATAGGGAAACTGTTTTGCGAACCACCAATCAGCTATCAAAATCAGTATCTAGTGAAAAACGGTCCCGAAAACATCCATTTAGCAAGAGTGTGGACTGAGCTGTCAAAATAGTCGTCTAGCGAGGCATTGGTCCCGGGGGAAAAACTGTCTTGCGAAGCGCGGACTGAATGATCGCCCAGCAAAAATCACCCATAAGGAAAGCTGGTTTGCAAAGCGCTATAGTGCTCGCAAAAACCATCATCTAGCGATTTCCTTGTCCTGCGAGGCGATCGTCTAGTGAGGCACCACTGTATAAGGGTGTTGTTCTGAACCAACACCTTTTGTTTATCCAGCCAAGGAATTCTAATAGAAATAATAATTATGTGCCGTCAACTCTGACTTATGGTGGGTTTTCCAAGTAGAGAATACTCAGAGGTGGTTTACCGTTCCCTTTTTTGGGGGAGTGCTCTGCACAAATGGTGCATCTTGCCCAAGGCCACACAGGCTGGCTCTTCTCCCTAGAGGCACAGCGAAGAATCAAACACCCAACCTCTGGCTCTATGATACCTAAACCGCAGAGCTATTCAGCCAGCTAAGAAATTTTAAGTTCTATGCAAACACACACATACATGCAACACCTTTTCTATCTTCGTCATTCTCAGGTCACTGTGCATTGTGTTTGCTGGGACTTTTCAGCATCCCCTATCCTTCATTCCATGGACTAGCCATACTAAGAATCTGCAGGCCACTTCAAGGCAAACATGTACAGACACCAACAAAAATCCACTGCCAAGATTTTAGATAAGTTAACATTTCAGACAGAAATAAATTATTGTCCGTGACGGCTGGGGTTTCTGGAAGTTACAGTTCAAAAAAAGCAATTTTCTTGAGCTCTGCTTCCACCTACAATTGATTTCCACTTCCCCCTTTTTAATAAAATGATAACAACATTCCATCAACCTTAAGCTATCTATTGTTATAAACGAATGTGTTGGGCACCATATTCCATCATCCCCAGGCACCAGAAGTAAGATTGATTTGGGCTAGAACTGCAATCTAGCAGGTTGCCTGTTTGGGAAAGGACGATCTAAATCTTCAAGGCTTTCAAGGCTGCAGTGTTTTGAAGAAGAGTTTATTTTAAGCTAATGGTAACAGGGGACCTGAGAACGGGGAGTGAAGGACTTCCAAGAGGAACAACCTTTAAATGGGTTGGAGGTGGCAGCTGAGAACCCAGGCTTTAGAGAAGATCTTTGACAAGGAAGCTAGCCTTCTGCAATCTGAGGTCCACAAGATTCCCCCCACCCCCGTGCCCTACACCTCCTATCTTCTCCAAACATTCACCATGCTGTTTGGGGCTGATGGGAGTTGTAGGCCAACACATTGGGAAGAACCCTTGCTGGAAAACTGGTAGGGCCTAAAGGGTTGCCCTTCGCATAGGCAACCTTTAGCAGAAGGGGCTCTTGAGCGCAGGTATCTTTCAGAGGCTCCCCTTCAACATCTTTGCTGAGGTCCTTGTTCCAGCTCTCTTCCTTTACATGCAGAGGCCCATTTGTCTCTGGGTCTTCTCCCACCGCTGCCTCCTTCTCCTTCTGGCTTTTAGTCCACATTTCCCGGATCCATTCCATTTCGGCCGCCCAAAGCCTCCTGTCCTTCTCTCGCTGGGCTTTCTCCTCCTCCCACAGTCCCTGGAAGAGCTTCTCTCTCTCCCGGAAATGCATGCGAATGTCCCGGATCAGCTCGTCAAATCTGTCATCTCGGGGCCTCTTCCTTCTGTTTCGGAGCTGTGCCAACTTCTCCCGTGTGCTCAACAAAGTCCGGCTCCTGGAAAAAGCTGGAGAGGAAGACAAAGAATAGGCTTCTCAGTATGGACCTGGCACAAGATTCCAACATGGGAAGAGTCTTTGGTCCCATATTCCAACAGCGCTCTAAGCCAAGGGTACAGGCTAAATCAAAGTACACATTTCTCCAGCAAGCCTATGAAACACAGTTCAAATCTATGCATGTGCATTCTTTTATCAATATATTTTAAACTGCTCTTTAAATTGAACTGTATTCTAAAGTTAAAGTAAAGGCAAAGGTTCCCCTTGACAATTTTTGTCCAGTCGTGTTCGACTCTAGGGGGCGGTGCTCATCCCCGTTTCCAAGCCATAGAGCCAGCGTTTTTGTCCAAAGACAATCTTCCATGGCCAGTGTGACTTAGACACGGAATGCTGTTACCTTCCCACCGAGGTGGTCCCTATTGATCTACTTGCATTTGCATGCTTTCGAACCGCTAGGTTGGTGGGAGCTGGGACAAGCGACGGGCGCTCACTCCGTTGAGTGGATTCGATCTTATGACTGCTGGTCTGACCCTACAGCACAGGCTTCTGCGGTTTAGCCCACAGTGCCACCACATCCCTAAAGTTAGCATTTGCTTAATTGGCCACAGTCCTATGGGTTGTTTATGCTAGTGTAACTGCAACGGCTTTAAACTGCTGCTAACTGCCATGCATCTCACTTGGTACGAAATCTTGATACGATTCCTGGATATTCTGAAAAATAGTGACAACCCCAAGTTTACTACAGGAAGGTGAGGAAGGAAATGATTAGAAGTCAGAAACTTAAGGAAAGTAATATATATGTGTATGGAGGAAGATTATCGTCACCACCATCATCATCATGTGCTGTCAAGTCAATTCTGACTTACGGTGATGCTTTTTCAATGTTTTCCAGTTAGAGAATATTCAGGAGTGGTTTACCCTTCCCTTCTTCTGGGCATGCCCTGGGACTCCGCAACTTGCCCAGGGCCACATAGGCTGGCTCTCGTACTTGCAAGAGGCATAGTGAGGAATCGAACTTCCAACCTCTGACTCTTCAGCTACCCATCCAGCCTTCAGAGCTCTCTAGAAAAGCCATGGTGCCAAGTAATTTCCGCCAGGTGAAGCAAAGTACAGTGGTGCCCCGCATAGCGACAATAATCCATTCCGGAAAAATCGTCGCTATCCAGATTCGTCGCTATGCGAAAAGAAAAAGCCCATAGGAATGCATTAAAACCCGTTCAATGCGTTCCTATGGGCTTAAAACTCGTACATATTTCTCCAGCAAGCCTACGAAACACAGGTCAAATCTATGCATGTGCATTCTTTTATCTATATTTTTAAACTGCTCTTTAAATTGAACTGTATTCTAAAGTTAGCATTTGCTTACTTGGCCACAGTCCTATGGGTTGTTTATGCTAGTGTAACTGCAACGGCATTAAACTGCTGCTAACTGCCATGCATCTCACTTGGTACGAAATCTTGATACGATTCCTGGATATTCTGAAAAATAGTGACAACCCCAAGTTTACTACAGGAAGGTGAGGAAGGAAATGATTAGAAGTCAGAAACTTAAGGAAAGTAATATATATGTGTATGGAGGAAGATTATCGTCACCACCATCATCATCATGTGCTGTCAAGTCAATTCTGACTTACGGTGATGCTTTTTCAATGTTTTCCAGTTAGAGAATATTCAGGAGTGGTTTACCCTTCCCTTCTTCTGGGCATGCCCTGGGACTCCGGTTGTTTATGCTAGTGTAACTGCAACGGCTTTAAACTGCTGCTAACTGCCATGCATCTCTCTTACTACACACGAACTCATAGGACAAGCAATACTAGTGACTACATATTAATAAGTGGATAAGTGGCAAATTCTCCTCTCTTGTTTTTAAAAACCTTGTCATGAGCCACCTTGATCAACAGTTTTGGGAAGGTGGGGATATATTGTAAGTAAATGGCATGATACCTAATCAGTGATTGGAGATGTTTGCAAGTGGCGTAGGAAAAACCCGCAAGACAAGTATTCCCCACCCCAGCTCCAGCCTGGGTTAAAACTCAAGTTTACAGAATGTATCTCTAACTGCAGAACCACACATGCCTAGACATACAATGGCCGGAATCTTGTTGTTCACTTATGCAAACAGCATAACCTTTAGCTACAAATTGTTATACGTTATGAAAATCTCTGTAGACATTACCTATTGCATATTGATTTGTGCAGCTCGGAATGCAAGAGATAACAGCTATGGAGATTTAACTCACGCAATCCATGTCTAAATGTTATGCCATTTGCACAATTTCACAATAAGATTTCAGCCAATATGTTAATGGCCATTAGGCTTTCTGCCTACCAAGCATGCCTTAGTTTTTATTTGGCCTGAAGATTTGCTATACTAGAATATCAGCTGCATTCCAATGAGATCAATTTATAAGGCTCATCGCAAGGTAGCAGAGTGGAGAAAAAAGGCAGCAGAGTAACTTTGAGGGAGTTTATTATATCAGTGTCAATATGCAAAACTGTGAATCTTGGTCTGCTCAGGAACAGCTCCCACCTAGAATCCAAGCTTTATTATTTTATTGTACATGATCAGCTGCACTATTATAGGAATATGTACCATATAAGTGAATTACAGCAACTAGAAGGGTGCAGATTTGTGATTCCAGACTGGCTTAAATCCACAAATCTACTTACATCTAATGGCAACGTACCACTATGCAGCTTTGAAACCTCCCATTCTTATAGATGCTTATACTGTGCATACATGTGCCTGTAGGTCTGCATCTTGAGCATGTCCTTTAGAACCTTATTACCCTTTTGGTCATTCCTCAAGACCCAGCCTTTATCCTTATGATCTTCTATGAATACCATGTTTCCCCGAAAATAAGACAGGGTCTTATTTTTTTGCTCCAAAAACACATTAGGGCTTATTTTCAGGGGATGTTTTATTTTAGTCATGTTATCTTCTGGTTGCTGCACAAGAGTGGAGGACAGGGTTTCACATAAGTGGGGCTTACTTTTGCGGTAGGGCTTATATTACAAGCATCCTGAAAAATCATACTAGGGCTTATTTTCAGGGAAACATGGATACATAGGAAACTGGAGGAAAGAGTTACATATGACAGAAAAAAGAAGAGACTAGTGAGGAATCGAACTTCCAACCTCTGACTCTTCAGCTACCCATCCAGCCTTCAGAGCTCTCTAGAAAAGCCATGGTGCCAAGTAATTTCCGCCAGGTGACTTGGTCACTAAAACCTCTTGGTGCTTGAGGGAACAAAGGGAATCCTTAAGGAACATATCAAACTTTCCCACCGAGGAAAATTTAGTTGTATCACCAAAAGAAAAAAAAGAAGAGACTATCTGGATTCTTAAGTTCTATTTCAATGGGTCTTGATTGGAATATGGAAAAGATAAGAACAGGAGTCTTAAGGATAAGTCTAGTTCAGCAGTTGCTAACAGCATATGAAAGTGAGAACAGAGATTCTGGGCTTCTCTTTTTGGGGAGGAGGGCTGGGAGAAGATGGGAACAGAGGTGCCAAAGCTGGACTAGAAGAGGATTTAGAAAAAAAAAAATAAGGATCTGAGAGTTAGGACTCCTGACGTCTCTTGTGGAAAAGTGGGAATCGGGGGGAGGAGATCTGGGAGACGCCAGAAAGAGAAGGCAGGAAGGCGGTTGGAAATCAGGACTCCTGGGTTGGGCGCCAGAAAGGAGGAAACAGATGAAACACGTGGAGTGAATTTTGACAGCCAGGATAGCAGAGATCCAGAGCAAAGAGGGAAGATTTAGGGCTAGATCTTAAATGCCACTTGCATGCAGTGGGATGGGGAGAGAGGCGTGTGTGGAAAGGGATAGGTTTCTGGATTTGGAGGGTGCAATAACTCTTCCCCCCGAAATCGACCCCAATCCCCTTCACTCACCTCTCCGGCTCAGCCCGGCCCTCCAGGACGTTTCCAGATGCCCCCGAGGCTCCCGGCGAAGGAGAGGCTCCTCCACCCCCGCGGGCCCGAGGGGGTCTCCAGCGTTGCTCTCCCCGAGGGCGTCTTCCCGGGCGTAGAGGTAAGGTCCCGATCCTCCACCTCCGGCTCCTTGGAGGCCGGCCTCTTCTCGGGCGGGGCTCTTCTCCTCCTTGACGATCCCCCCCGCCACCGGGCGGGGATGCTGCGGGTGGTGGGGCAGGAGGGGGTCCTCGCGGCGGAGCAAGCCCCCGGCCGCTTGAGAAGAGGAGGAGGAGGAGGAAGAGGAGGAAGCGGCGGCGGCGGCAGCAGCCACGTTGGCGGTGGCCGAGGAGGAGGAAGGCTCGCCTTGGGGATCCAGGTCGCTGCCGTCGGTGACGGACACCTGGGTCCAGGCGTACTCCTCTTCCTGCAGGTCTTGATCCGGATCCAACTCCGGATCGCTCTCCTCTTTGATCACCACCTGGCACCAAGGAGGAGCAGCGGCGGCGGCGTGGCAGCTCTTACTGCCGCCGCTCCCGCGGCCACGCGCGGGATCGGGGCCGCCGGCGCGCCCGGTGCCCAGGATAGCGTCGAGTTCGTGGAAGAACCGGCAGCGCTGGCGGGCGATCCCGTCCTGGAGCTTGGCTTGCTTGTAACTCTTCTTGAGGTCCTTGCCTTTGGTCCGGCATTGGTCCTCGTCGCGGAAATAGCCTTTCTCCGCCATCCGCTCCGAGATCCATTGGTAGACGTCGGCGTTCCGGTGGCACCGGTTGAGCTGCGCCTGGATGCCTTCTTCCCCCCACAAGGCGAGGAAATCCAAGGTCTCCCGGTGGCTCCAAGTGGCTTGTGTAATTTATGGAAGCTGGGATATTTTCATCCCCCCCCCCAAAAAAAAAGCACAGCGATAATAAAGTGTAAAATAAAAAACAGCAGCAGAGGTGGGACGACTTACTGCGCAACCATTGGCCAGCGGCTCCGTGGTATGCATGTGACCCTGAATTAAATCGGAATTTCATCTCTCTCTCCCTCTCCCCCGATCACGCCTCCCTAGTGGGGCACAGTGCTCTTTACCCTCGCGCTGTCCTTGCAAACCTCTTACCTCTCAGAGAACCCAGGAGTCTGAGCGCTCCTTGTCCTCCCTTCCCCAACACTCCCAGAGACCCCAGTCAGGACAGCTAGTGGTGAAGGCTTCTGGGAGTTGCAGTCCAAAACTCCTGAGTAACCTAGGGTTAAGAACCAGTGGTGTAACTGAAGGATTATTTTTGTAATAGGAGGTGGTGCAGATAAGTATTGAGCCTTTCCCAGAAACAAAAAGAACTAGGAAGCTATAAATTGCAGGGTGTATTGGCCAATTTGTCTGTATTCAATGGTTCAAAGATCAACTACCTATGATTTTAACTTATCTTTCATGTTCAGGTCCAAAGTGAACATGGCGGCACCTCCAGAAAAGTTCATTGTGGAAGAGCATAGGACCATAACCAAGTTCCTGTTTCTCCAAGGGAAAGGTGCAAAGCAGATCCACGATGAAATGTCACAAACTATGGGTGACAGTGGCCCTTCATATGAAAGAGTTAAATGTCAATTTTAAAACTGGCTATTTTGGTGTTGAAAGTAAGAAACCCAGTGGAAGGCCTGCTTCTGTCTCTGTGCCTGCAAATGTGAAGTGGGAGTGTTCTGGAGGCAACTAATGCTGCAAATTAGTGGTTACACCAGCAGTCGGATGAATTTTATTTGCAAGCACTTAAGAAGCTGCAGGACAGATGTCACAACTACACTGACTTTCTGGGGGAATATGTAGAATAGTGTGGCAGTTACAGCTTCCTAGCTCATTTTTTTTTCTGGGAAAGGCCTAATACTTATCAGCACCCCCTTGTAGAAACGGCAACAGAAGCAGCTCCCGCCTAAATCTGGCTTCTTGGAGGAATCAGGAAGGGACTTTTGGGTGAAAAAGGCGGCAAGCTCAGTTCTGTGCCAGGGTTGAGAATAAATTTCTAGACCAAAATATGTTCAGAGGTGAATATTTGTTGCATCTGGCATTGGGTGGGAGATCTGGAAGAGTGGGGGTGGGGGAAAGCTAGGAAACCTTTTTTCAAAACTACCAATTCAAGAATGGAAGTGGTAGTCCTAACATTTTCCAATTTGGGGGGGGATAATGAAGTAGATCCAATAAGCATGCATGCAACCCACTCATCCCTGATGATGCCAGGGTGCAGACAGAAACCAATACTCAGTCTATAGAGATAAGAGGCCTGAGACCAGGCAAAAAGATTTGGAAATTGAGCCTTGATATAACCAGAATTCAAAAAGGTGGTTCTCCCCCCCCCCATTATTACTATGGCCATGCTGGCTGGGGGATTCTCAGAGCTCTAGTTGAAAAAAGTAACGTCTCCAAGCTCTCAGTGTCACACACTGCTCACCCAATTCCAAAATGTATCAAACCTTATTATTCGGCATAGGCTTTCGTGGGCTCCAAGCCTGTGTCTTCAAATGTCCCAAAAAGGTGGCCTACTATCCAGGAAAATTTATGTTAAGCAGCCACGATTTCCCTTGGAAGGCATCACCTTGAGTGTTTCAGAAACATACACTGTCCCATAAACAGGCTGGGGAGTCTTGACTCTAGGTTTCTCTACCAAGGGATATATTATATTAAACCATAAAAGAGAATTAACAGCTAGGAGGACTCTTGAACTGTCTAAACATTAGTACAGTGGACCCCCTACTTACAGAATTAATCCGTATTGGAACGGTGGCTGCAAGTCGAAAAGTCTGTAGGTCGAATCTCCATTGACCTACAATGCACGCAACAACAAGGCTCACAAGCAGAGCCTCAATCATCTCTACCTCTGTCCCATAAACAGGCTGGGGAGTTCTTACTCTAGGTTTCTCTACTAAGGGATATATTATATTAAAGCATAAAAGAGAATTAACAGCTAGGAGGACTCTTGAACTGTCTAAACATTAGTAAATCACCACACAGGCTCCTTCAGCTCCCCTTTCTTTACCCCATTCCCAAATCCAAAAGTACTTTTTTTCTTTAAACATGGTTAACACAACCAACATGGTTAACGCAACCGAGTTAAAACATCACCAGAGAGCCCTTTGCTCACAAATAAAATACTGTAGCTTGCTTTTTGCTGAATTGGGATGGTCAGAGTAAGGCCAGGGCCACCTCCTGGCAACGCTATAAAAAAAAGTATCCAGAAAAACATGATGCCTGAGCAAAGGAGCAAAGGTCGGGGACCAAGAGAGGCAGCCAGATGTGGCAGTGGGAGTGTCTAAAAAAACTAAATAAGAAACAAACAGTTGTGGCTTTTATGCCCAAAGGAGGGAAGAGGGTCAGTTAATCCCTGACCCTCTTCCCTTCTTTCTCTATTTGATTTATTTTTGTATTTTCCCATCTTGCAGAATTATTTACTTGTTACAATTTTCTTATTTTTCTTATGTTTTTATGTTGTAAGCCGCCTAGAGTGGTCGAAACGACCAGATAGGTGGGGTATAAATGAAATAAATAAAATAAATAAAATAAAGACCTGCCTCTGTCCCCTGTTCGCACCCCATCCCTCCTCGGTGTCTAGATCTTTTGCTTTATAACTCCATCCACGCCCCAATTTCACCAGGTCTTTATCTCCCAATATTTTAACCCCCTGGACCCCCCAAATTCTTCTCCTGGCGGACCCAGGCGTCCGGGGCCAAGGAAAGAAGCCAAGGTCCCGGGCTTTCCGCCTGTTTTCTCTTACCTGGGCTGTCCCAGTCCCCTCTGGGACAGGCCCATAGTCCATGGAGTTGTAGATAGCGAACACTGGTGGGGGCCCAAGGCTGCTTGCCGTGACTGCTGCGGAGCCAGCCATAAACCCGGGACTGGCTGGTCTTCCTTTGACAGCTCGAATGCAGCAGCTCGTCCCTTAAAACTCTACTACCCCCTTCCTCGCTAGAGGGTTACTTCCGGCCTCCGGACTACCATAGAGACTAGGGAACTAGAAAGGAAAGGACACACCATTATCACAGAGATAAGGCAGAGGCATAATCCAGGCCGAAAAGGTGTCTCCAGTGTGTTCTTTATATCTTGGGTTGCAACCAGGTTAAATCTAAATTGGTTTCCCGCCCCCTCCCTAGTGAGCAAACTGCAGGGGCTGTAGTAAAAGAGTGGTATAAATATACCAGATGGGCGGGATATAAATCAAGTAAATAAATAAATAAATAAAACACATCTGGAGGGGCAGTTTGAATAAGGCACGCATAAATTGGAGGTGAGGGACCCAGGGTGTGCCAGATGTTGGCGAACGACTGCTTTTCTTATCCCTCATCACTGGCCAGGGAGTTTACAATCAACATAATCTGGAGGGCCCCCCGCGTGTCCCACTCCGCTCCAAATAGAATCGGAAGTGTGAATTCCCATTCGGACAGCTGGCCCTAACTCTATAGGGTCTCTGGGTTCTAAACGGAGGGAAGGTATAGAGGGGAAGTCTATAAAGCGGAGGGGAAGAGATTGCAACTTCCGGTCTCGTCCCCCCTTTCCCCCATCTAATAGGACGGAATAATAATATCTGTTGTTGCTCCAACTACCACCAAGATCGAGAAGGAAAAGGTAACAATTGAAAGCCAAACTGCAACAATACTGAATCACCACGATGGTATTCAGTGTCGAGGGATGGTAGTATTAAAAACATAAGGAGGGAAGGGACGGCAGTTAAGGAAAGCTGCCATAATCGCGCTGGTTGAGGGAATTCTGGGAACTGTAGTTTAAGACAGTAACGTTTACAAGCTTTGGTGGGTTTTCTGGTTTCTCAGCCCGGGACCTGCAGCGCTGCTGACAGCATTGATCTGGATTTATTTGCTTTTTTTTTTAAAGACAGGCTCCAAATCGGTGCTCGAGACGACAAAAGTCAAAACAATAGGAAAACCAAAAACATGATAAAACCATCAAGGCTTTTTCTTTCTTTTTTTGCACGTGCTTTCAATAGGATTCGCTGCCATAGCAGCAACAGCAGTTTGACTCCATTGAGAAAGGAAGTCCCCGCTCGTAGAGAGGAATCATTCAGGGTACGTGTGAAAGCTTCGTTTACTGTATTCGCGACTGGCCGAAGGAACAGGAAGAAATTTTTAAAGGGCTCTTACATATTATGGGTAAAGAAACCATTGGGTTATGGCTGGGTTATTATGGGTTCAGATTCTTTCTGAAGATCCTGGTCTACTGCACCAGGTTGTGAGTTTAAAAACTGAGAGCAAAGAAAGGTGTGTGTGTGTGTAGTTCCAATGTCTTTGAAGGGGTGGTGGGATAAAATTAATAAATATCTGAGTTAGAAGAAATGAAGGAGGCCAATGGGGTGAGAGGAGGAGAATCTGGAGGATTGTTGTTTTATAGCGGCGGAGAGTGTTGTCGTGCAGGCTTAGCCCAAGGCATTTTGCTACCTGTGATGGTTTAGGGAGTGACCTCTCACCCATCTACCCAAGTCAAGGTGCAGAATATCTGAAGGGGGCAGCAGCAAATTGTTTCAGCCCATGAGGCAGAAAATCCTACAGATTCTTCTCCCCAAACCAGGTGGCAAAAACAAGACAACAAATCAAGTACGTAATTTATCCTTTACTACCTATTCATCACAACCAAAATCTGCTGTGGGCCCTTGCAGCAGTCTGATAAAGGTAATGCTAGTGCTTGGGTCACCTGTTAGGGCCCATACCTGTTTCAGAGAGTCTCCTGTGGGTTGCGATTTTTTGTTGATTTCAGTTTGAAGGAGGCGGCTGTTTTTCTTGTGGCTACTGAGGCAACTTGCTGGGTTAATAGTAACAACAATCATAAAAACATGTTTATCGCAACATACACTTGATCACCAGAAAGATGAATAAGTGGATTCTAGATCAAATCAAGCGGGAATCCTCTCTAGAACCAAATTTGATTAAACTGAGACTATTGTATTTTGGGCATGTAATGTGAAGACAAAATTCATTGGAAAAGTCAATAATACTGGGAAGAACGGAAGGCAACAGGAAAAGAGGAGGATCAAATGTTAGATTTATTCAGTAGGAAGGCATTGACTTTAGTTTGCAAGACATACCCAAGGCTGTTAATGACAAAATTTCAGAAGCCACTAATTTAATAAACTATATATAATACACATATATTTTTAAAGTGTAGTGTTACTTATCTTCCTTTATCTCTGTGAAACATGTAATGTTTTGCACTTTTCGTTTTAGCAACAAAGGGAGCTTCTTTTGTAGGAATTGTCATCTATGAGACAATTGGTGTTGGTTTCTTCCAACCTTTTATTTTGTGTTACTTATCTTCCTTTATCTCTGTGAAACTTGTAATGCTTGCACTTTTTGTTCTAGCAAGAAAGGGAGCTTCTTATGTAGGAATTGTCATCTGTGAGACAACTGGTGTTGGTTTCTTCCAACCTCTTATTTTGTGGTGTAAAGCTTCAGAGACTGCATGTTATTTTAGAGCCTAGTTCTTACCTATCCTATTCATCTTGCAGTCTCGGTGGAATTCTGCCAGCGCTATCATGGCATCTGGAATGGACAAGTCCTTGTTATCTGCTGAACTCCAGGAGGAAGAGGAAGAGGAGGAGTTCCGGCGTCTTTTGCTTCAAGTATGTCAAACGCAAACCTTCTTGTGGTTGTGGTATTGTAGACCCATCTCATTCATTCTGACAGTTGAAATGCCTGGTATTACCTGTTTAAAATGAAAGTGCATCCGTGGGTGTTTATGTTGATCTCCAGAAAGCCAAGGGACAAAGTTGATTATACGATGATGTTGGAAATTGGGATTTGCAGGAGAAATAAGGCTGCTGCTAAAAATTTCAGGGTTCTATCTTATTCCTCCTGGCTGGATAATTCAGCAAGTTAGGTATCTGGTTGGGAGTTCGATTCCTCATTGTGCCAGCCTATGTAACCCTGGGCAAGTTGCATAGTCGGTTGGGAGTTCGATTCCTCATTGTGCCAGTCTATGTAACCCTGGGCAAGTTGCACAGTCACAGAACAACTCCAAAAAAGGGGGGGGGGAATGGTAAAACACTTCTGATTATTATATACTAAAAAACTTTGGAAGGTGACCATAATTCAGAATAGACTTGATGGCATATAAGAATAATATTATTTTCTTAGTCCTTCCCTGTTCCCTATAATAATCATTTATTTGTCACATTTATATCACACATTTCTTTCGGTAAGTTCAAAGTGGGGTACATGGATCTTTTTATCTTTACAACTATGAGGTAAGGTAGATCAGACTCTAAAGGAAAACAATGAGTCTCTGAGACCACCCATTACGTTTCATGACTTGGTGACGACTAGATCCAGGATCTCCTGAATCGTAGTGTACCATTAAGCGCCACGCCGCATAGATCACCGAGGGGTGCTTTGCGCATGAAGCAACTTCCCATTAGTTTCTATGGACGGAAAAGAGCAGATACGGATTAAATGGTTTTCAATGCGTTCCTATGGGAAATGCAGATTCTACATAAGAACTTTTCCACTTGAGAACCACCTTCCAATACGGATTAAGTTCTTAAGTAGAGACCCCACTGTATATACTAAAAAACTTTGGAAGGTGACCATAAGTCAGAATAGACTTGATGGCATATAATAATATTATTATCTTAGTCCTTCCCTGTTCCCTGTAATATTCATTTATTTGCCACATTTATATCACACATTTCTTTCGGTAAGTTCAAAGTGGGGTACATGGATCTTTTTATCTTTACAACAATCCTATGAGGTAGATCAGACTCTAAAGGAAAACAATGAGTCTCTGAGACCACCCATTACGTTTCATGACTTGGTGACGACTAGATCCAGGATCTCCTGAATCGTAGTGTACCATTAAGCGCCACGCCGCATAGATCACCGAGGGGTGCTTTGCGCATGAAGCAACAGTAGCGTACTGTGATTTTTCTCTATATTTTATACAAGTGACAGGAGTTCCATGTGGTGCTGTGAAACTCATAGCCGTCAGGAATTAGTATTTAGAATTTAAATGTTGCTAGCCACGGTTGGGTGTGGGGAGGAAAGGATGTTTGGGCTTCTAGAGTGTCAAGTTCCATCCATGATAAAGCTATGATCCATAGAGAAAGAGGCTCATTGAAAGAAATGGAACTGACTTTGGATAACTCAGACAATTATACAATTGCATTAATTTAATATTGCTTTAATTGCCCTGGTTATATTCCATGGATTCCTAGATTTTGTAGTTTAGTGAGGGACTGAGAAGTTTCTGAAATCCTCTGAACTCAAATACAGAATTCCAAGTACCTCACCAGACTACATATTCCAGAATTTCATAGGATTCAGCCAGAACAGTTAAAGTGATACCATACTGATACAAACTGTATAGTGTACATACGTATATTCCTTGAGTCCTAAATGTATCAAATACCTCTGTCCATAGGCAACTGAAAAAATCCAGGGTTCCATGCCCTCTCCGGTGGAGTCCAAACCCATCCGTCCGCTCCCAGGTAAAAATAATCTACGTAACTGTAGTGACTAGAATACAAGGAAACATGGAAATATTTCAAGTCATCTGGGGCAATATCTCAAACCAGTCTTCCCTGTCTTGGGGTGCTCTGTGTTTCTCAAACTATATTGCCCACCATCCCCATATGATAGTCAGCCACCGAATTATGGGACTTGTAGCCGGTCATATCTGTAAAGCACCCAGAATGGAGTGCTTTATGTGAAATCTGTTTGGGAACTAGCACTTATTCATCTTTTCCACACTTTACAATGTTGCTTGAGATTGATCCGTCTCCCCTGCTTTCTTCCTCACTCTTTTTTTCAATGTGTATTAGGGATGGATGAGGAAACTATGATACTGAGGGGAGGGTATGGCTTGATATAGAAAGCAATGGAATGGCAAAGAGACAATGGTTGAAATCCTCTTGCGCAGCTCTGCCAGTGGAATGGGAATGACATCATCAAGAGCCGCAGATTGCCACTTATTAAAGGCTTCCTTTGCTGACAGCTCATACCCTGTTTTCCCGAAAATAAGATCTAACCTGAAAATAAGCCCTAGTTAAGTGAAACCCCACTCTCCACCATTGTGCAGCAACCAGAAGAAGATGACAGGACTGTATTTGACAGGACTGTATTTGAATATATGTAGATTGTTGTACATGAAAAAATAAAGCATCCCCTGAAAATAAGCCCTAATGCATTTTAGGAGCAAAAATTAATATAAGACCCTGACTTATTTTCGGGGAAACAGGGTACAAAGTTACAAGCACCCTGAAAGTGCAAAAGGAAGCCTTTAATCAGCGCCCATCTGATGGCATCATTCTGATGACATCATTCTCAATGGCCAGGCAGACTCCACTCAGCACCTCATTAATGAGTAGCAATTTGCCACCAGAACCTCCATGATTTCCTTTATGAATTGACAATAAGGCTCTGACCAATATATACCATTTCTCTTTTTCTCTCTAGGATTCTGCCTTAAAACTCATACCGTTTCTGGCGAGAAGGTCTTTGTCAACGTCTGCAGGTCCCCGCACATCCCTCCACCTCCTGACTTGTCCAATGAAGAACTGGCATGCCTTATTGAGTCAGAGAATGCCTCCGACTTCCGGATTCCCATGAGTCTGGGAGAGCCTCATGCAGAAGTGGACAAGAGTGAGTGTTTGTGCTCCTAGTGGGGAGAACATGATGAGTCTGTGATGAGAGGTGTTGCGGGAGGAACTAAACGGAAGCAGAAGTTATATAGAACCACCTTGGCCTCTATTGATTCCAAAAGTCAGGTGGTTGGGTTATGGCTTAAGAGCTGCAGTACTGCTGGTTGCCACTGTAGGGATGGTGCTGCAGCACAGCAAAGATATTCCCCATTTGAGAGCTGCTTCGGTGGCCCCATACTTTAGTCCCGTGGCTAGTATCCTTGATTCAAGTGGAATGTGGCTGGCTTTTACAGACCCTAGCAGCCCACTTGCCTGATTTGTAAATTTACACAGGCAGATTTTTTTGCATATTCTAGCCTATAAAGCAGTGGTTCCAAACCCTGAATTCTACACGTTTGTAGACTCCCAGAAATAGTGGCCAGCACAGCTAGTGGTGAAGGCTTCTTGCAGATTTAGTCCAAGAACATCTCAGGAGCCAAGTTTGGGAAGCACTGCTATAAGGAAACAAAAATCTGCAGGTGAATGCAGTCTCATGAAATACCTTCATTAAAACCATAAACATAGATGGTTTCTAGCCATCATAGTTCAAGGAGAAGGAAAATACACAAATTATATGATGAGGTCTGTGATTTTTCATGAAAACATGTAAGCCAGAATACCATTGCTTATGTTGTTGTTGTTTAGTTGTTAAGTCGTGTCCGACTCTTCATGACCCCATGGACCAGAGCATGCTAGGCCCTCCTGTCTTCCACTGCCTCCCGGAGTTGAGTCAAAATCATGTTGGTAGCTTCGGTGACACTGTCCAACCATCTCGTCCTCTGCCATCCCCTTCTCTTCTTGCCTTCATGCTTTCCCAACATCAGTGTCTTTTCCAGGGAGTCTTCTCTTCTCATGAGATGGCCAAAGTATTGGAGCCTCAGCTTCAGGATCTGTCCTTCCAGCGAGCACTCAGGGTTGATTTCCTTTAGAATTGTAATATAAGCCCTTCACAGATTGCTGCCTTATCATGGCGAGGGGGCTTGAGTAATTCAGAGAAGCTATGGGCTATGCCGTGCAAGGACATCCAAGATGGACAGGTCATAGTGGAGAGTTCTGACCAAACATGACTCACCTGGAGCAGGAACTGGCAAGCCACTCCAGTATCTTTGCCAAGAAAACTCCATGGAGAGAAACAAAATGCTAAAGATATGATGCTGGAATATTGCTTATGTACATAGGCATAAGTGCAGTAGCATAAATAGTACCTTCTAATAAAGGAGTCTTTGTCTATATTTCTTGTCATGCACTGATCGTTTGACTTACATAATGAGGAATACAAGTAGTGGCTTCTTAACTTGTAGTGTATAGATGAGAGATTCATATTTGTATCCCTGGAGATCCAAATGTGAAGCGTGGCACCACAGCTGCCACGGAGGCCAATTTCCTCCCCACCCCGGACCAGTCCGGTCCACTCACCAGGCTCCGTACATCCATCCCTCGGCAATAACATTGTGCCAATCACAGAAGCCGCCCAACCGGCTCTGCCCTGCCTTCCCACACTGCTGACTGCTGAACAGCTGAGCAGGGAGGCTTGTCATCCCACCTCCTCACCGGACTGGTCATCTGCGAGGCAGGGCAGAGCTGGTTGGGCTACTTCCGCAATTGGCGTGATGCCGCTGCTGGTGGACACATGCCTGGTGCAGAGCCTGGTGAGTAGACCGTTCTGATTCTGGGGGAGGGAATGGATCTCTGTGACACCTGTGGCGCAGTGCTTTGTATTTGTAGCCCCAGGGATACGAATACGAAGCTCCCATCTGTATCTAGTAGTCTTTTGCCACTGAGATTTATACCCTTGTACCTATACTGTTGTATCGAAGCAGTGGGATTTTGGTCATATTAGTGACTAATGATAGTTTGTGGATTTCCTAGTCCAAGAAGAATTGTAAAGTCAAAATCAATTTCCTTCTAGCCTTTGGGAAATTAATCCTCTTTGGGATCAACCTAACCCATCTGCCTTAATTTCAGGTGGTAATGGGTGCACTGCCTATGATGTCACCATCAGCACCAGCTTCTTCAACAAGATGGAGGTGAGTGCTTTTTCGATGGGAGCCCTTGTGCCCCAGGGCTGGCAGGATCTGCTCGCAGTCCGAGGTTTATCCTGTTGTGTTTTTGCTGCCCAGGAAGGAAGGGAGTTATTGGAAGCAGAAAGATTTCTTCTAAGGCCAGTGAAAGTTGGGCAAGTGAAGAGAAGACGCTGCTCATTGCCCCTCAGCTGCTGACTCTGGGCATCTATTCTCTTCCTCCCCCTCCCATAGTTGGAAGTCTGTGTTGTTATGTCAAGATTTCTATCGAAGTTTAAAGGGCAAATGACTGAAGAATCCCGAAGTTTTGAAGACTGAGGTTTAACAACATTTGCTTTGTGACAGGTGTCAAAACTGATCCTGCTGTCTCCCTGTTTTCTCTCCCCACGTCCAGGGTAACCCATTTCTCAAAGAATTCTTCATCACAATTGCCTTGGAAGGCTTGTCAGAGAAATATAAGATGGAACTTAGCAATGAAGGTATGGAAAAATAATATTATTGGAAAGTGCTCTCCCCCCCCCTTTTCTGTCTGAGGGATCAATCCTGTCTGGATACAAAATGATCACTTTTTGACAAAAATGTCCCCCAACATAGCTCTGGCAGCACTTGCTTCTATCATTTTGGGTCTGGTCACAACTCATTATCTCTGTAGCTAAACTAATTATTCTGCTTGTATCTTTTCTCAGAACGGCGGATTCTGAAAAATAGGAAATTTATGGGTTCCATTTCAGAGCAGACCATCCGTACTAAATCCAAACCCATCATCCAGGAGATGGACAGCAGGTGGGTTCTCTGGACATGTGGAGTTTCCTTTGCTCTGAATCCCCATCTTGTGGTGGTAAATGACATAATCCCTGCATTAAAAAAATCTCTTCTTACGGTATCTTCTCTAGTATACAGTTAGTGCCAAGAGGTCGAAAACAAATCAAATTGTAGCAATCCCTGTTTGAGTTAATTTCACTTCTTTTTTTCTGATTTAGGGGTGAGCTATTTCTGGGGGTTGCAGGTCCTGCATTGACATCTGAGGGGGCAGGAGTGGAAGAAAGCTGCTACAATCTCTGTCTGCATTTCACCTTTTGATGGTAGAAACCCTCATGTCATGCAGTGTTTACAAGTGACATTGTGCTTATGGGAGGATTATGAGAGTGTGATTTTATTTGTAAACAAGGCATGCAGGCAGGAAGGATGCATTGGACCATATCTGTGCCTTTCTGCCAGCACAAAAGGAGTGATAGCCATTGGCAGTGGCAAATTGTTCCTAATTAAAGCATTCCTCGTCTGATTTTGGGTTGCACATGGCTTCCTTTCATGGTGCACGAGTTGCATGCAAAATCAAAGCCAGAACACTCTCATCTGCGGTAATTTGGTACTGCTGGTGATGCTACTCCTATTGCGCCAACGAAGCTGTGCAGCAGGATACTAGCCACCTCATTTGAAAGGAAAATTTGTCTTTTTTTTTCCTGCTGCGGGGGCGAGGAATCAAGATCAGTTAGCACCAGGGCCACAGATGCTATACAGTGCTTCCTTACACATCCTAGTGGAAGTTAAGCCAGAAGATGGCAAGATGTGATCTGACTATATCTTGAAGTCACAATGAAAGTTGGCATAGGAAATCTTCACCAAGCTGAGGAAATTGGTATATAGGGGTTTTGCTCTATTAATTGCTCTATTCATTCTCACCTTTCTGAGCCTGCTGAACAGTAAGTTCTGGGCTGGGACAGGAGTATACTGTAGAATCTTATCTCCCTTCCCTTTGGGCATGAGGATCATCAAGTGTTACTAGACAACACCTAAGGGTGCCATTTCTTTGGTGACTTTTAAATAATGGTTTGGAATAGAATGACAGAGTCTCTGTGCATCTTGTCCAAAGACAGCCTTTTGGGGACCACTGGTTTAGATGCTTTTAGATAACAGCTCCTGCCCAAACTGCCTGCAACCGTAACACACCACCATACGTTCTTTCGATGTAGTCTATGTTGCCGATTGTCGCATTTGGCTTGGTTTTGCTGTTATCGTGGGTCTCGGTATCCGGCTACCCGTTGGGTTGACGAATTCTATTCGGTTCGGCTGGGTTTTCTTGTAGGCTTGGGCGTTCGGCCCACTCAGATTCGTGCTCCCTGCTGCTTCGGCCATCTTGTCTTTGCCTTTGGGTTTTTCTACCTGCATCATTCCCCTGTTAAACCATGGCTCTTCCGCTCCTAAATAGTCCTCCAACAAAATTATAGCGACCTCTAGGTTGGTGGTGGTTGTTCATCACCCAGTTTCTGGGACCCGCTCCTAGCATAGATATAAGTTGTTCCTTAATCACAATTGCTAACACTTGGTCTGCTGTCTTTCCCTTGGGTTGTTCCCATCTTGTGGCATTGACCCTCATCTTCTGTGCCAGGGTTCTTGAATGGATTCCTGGGCGTAGTCATAGGTCTCTGAACCATCTCTGGTATGCTTCTTTGTTCAAGTTCAATGTGTTTAAAATCGCTGTTTTGACTTTTGTCTACTTGCCTGCCGCTGTCGGGTCTAGTGTGCCTACTATCTCTTCTGGTAGTCCCGTTAAATATGGCGTAAGGATCGATGCCCAATGTTCCAGCGGCCATTGTGCTGTTGTCGCTAAACGTTCAAACGTTTTGAGGAATGCTGCTGGGTCATCGTGTGGTTCCATTTTTTGTAGTTTTATGGGTGGTTGGCTTACTATCAGCGCTTTGTGTTATGTTGTCCCGTTAAATATGGCATAAGGAACGATAATGGTGTAGCCATGTGTGTTTGTGTCAATTGTGTAATCAGTAATTGTTCTTGGTCTGCTAGTTGTTTTATGAGGGTTTCTTGTCCTTCTGTTACTTTGTGGAGCCAATCTTCTGCAGGGCCTCCCGGTGTCGAAGGCCCCCATGTCGGGCGTCAATAAGTGACGGTTGAACTTTTGGCTCCAGGTTAGATTCAAAGAAATCAGTAGATTTTTCTTGCTTCAAAACAGGTGAAAGATTTATTGGTGCATTTAATGATAAACAAGCGTCTGGAACATGATTGTGAGTCTTTTCTCCTTCTGCCAACGGGTCCGGAAGGGGTTTCCAATCTTCAAACAGGAACGGGTTTCCATAACTATTGTTCCATGGTCCCAAGTGGGGACCCAGTCTCTTACGGTCTGCCTCGTCGGGCCTTCCAACAGGGGCACGGTCTCGTCATCCTGGTCATCATCTCACAGGATCTTTCTCTTGGGGTCTCGGCTCTTCCAGGATCCTCCCTGTAACTCCTTCTCTTCATCTTCTTTTACTCTCCATTCCAATCTTTCTCTCTTTTCTCTCTCAACTCTTTCTTTCTCCTCTCTCAAACTCCTTCTCCACTCTCTCGCTTCGGCTTCTCCCCAATAAGAGGGTCTGGGTGGAATCTCCTTCTATAATCTGCCTCTTCTTTAGGCACTCTTAGCCTCTCCGATAATCCCGTCCAGGGATCCTCCATCCACACCCATTCCCAACCAGGCAGCAAGTGCTCTTCCCTCCTTTTTACCTCCTCCGTTCCTGCCTCAAACTCCACCCTGTTTTTCCTCTCTTTTCTCTCCTTTACCTCCTGAACCTCCCCCATAGTCACTTTCTGCATGCACCTCTTCTGTCAGTTCCTCTATTTCTGGCTCTTGCTGTGGTCTCTATGTAGGCTCTGGTGAGGGCTTGGGTCTCGCTTGCTTGCTGTTGAGGAGGGACGGCTCTCCGGCGAGTGGGATATCCCTCTCACCTTCTGTCTCACACTGTGTCACAGAGGTATTTTATTTTATTTTATTTCAAATATTTTTAACCCATCTTTCTCCTTAAAAAAAGACCCAAGGCTGCCTACCTCATTAAAAAGGCAATATTTAAAAGCTAAAAACAGTAAATATACAAATATTTTTAAAAGAATCAAGCAAATGCTCTATTAAAACCAGTAAATAAAATCAACACTAAAAACCCATTTAAAAGCAACTGAGACACAATCCATTGAAAAAAAAAAGTCTCATACAGCCAGTCACTAAGGGAAAGCCCACCTGAAGAGAAAGGAAAGATGCAAAGGGACACTTACCGTGGGATGGGGTCTGGGTAACCTAGAAAGAGTGTGAGGATGTTTCTGGATCAGGACCAGGACCAGGAATAAAAAGATATGATCTAAAATAGGATTGTTACAATGCATTCCAGAGAAGAATGAACGGAAGCTGCAGCAAAGTGTTGCAGCATGAAATGCCTGACGTTCAAGATTCCAGATCCCCCCTTCCCCTTCTCCAAACGCCTTCATTGTTATTGGTCACGCTCAGTTCTTACTGAACTGTTGGGTAGAGAGGGTAACTCTTAAGAAAAAGAACAAAGGGCATCTGTTCCATCTTAAAAGACTAAAAAAAAAAAATTATTTGGCATCGTTTTTGATAATCATCTTGGAACTGCAAAACTGGAAGGGACCCCGTGCATCATCAAGTACAGCCCCAGTCAAGAAGGCACAGTGGGGAATCGGACAGCAGGTGGGTTCTCTGGACATGTGGAATTTCTGGCACAGTAGGGAATCAAGTTCCCAAACACAGCCAAAGACCTAAACCACTGAGCCATGGATTCCAGCCGACTTCAAAGTATCCTGAAGTCCACAAAAGCTTATGGCCAATAAGGCACTTCATTGGTTTTGCTGCCTGAACATCAAAAATAGAGGGAAAGATGCTAAGTTAGTAACTGAGATTGGTGGTGGGAACATAACTTTGTGTCCTCAGAGATTTTAATTTATTAGAAATGTAAATGTAAATTATTTCTAGTAAATGAAATAATCAATTTTCACATCATCTTGGTGGATTGGAAAGAAGCTGAAACCAACAGCTTTGACCTGGAATAAATTGCCTGCTCCTGTAGCTATCAGAAAAGCAGGGTCCACTTGAAAAGGGCCAATGGTTTTCCCCATTCTTGCTGATCACGTCTCCCGTGCTTACAGATCTGACTTATAAAGCTTTTTTTAAAAGTTATACAAATACATTGTCCTATAATACAGAATTAAAGTTTACAGTCTCATTTCCACAGTTAGATCGTTGAGCTGTAAAATGTTTTAAGTTTAAAGTATCACTATGGAGGGCTTAAAAAAAATCATAACAAAAATTAAAATAAATCCAAACGAAGCGTTGCATTGTTGTCCACTTTGGTTTGACCTCTTTTGCTTGTTCCTCAGCGCTGCCACAGTTCCTGAATTCACCTTAGTTGCTGAGCCATCTGTCAGTCATCCTGACCGACTCGTCGCGAAAATGTCCCTCCCTAAAATGGTAACTTGACAACAGGGTTAATTGGGAGAAATCCTATACATTGCATTCCTATCAGGGGATGTTGTGGAAAATTGAATTTTTTTTCTTCAGTATTTGTTTCCCGCCCCCTCCATAGAACTCAGTGAAATCCCTCGAGCTGGACCTGGGGGAGGACCGGATTGTGTTACGAGGGAAGCCCGGAGTCTACCATTTGGACATTTTCATTCCCTACAGCATCATCCCAGAGGAAAGCAGATCTCAGTTCCACAGAAGGACCAAGGTGAGTGAGGAAGACAGGTCTGCCTCAACTGGGTGGGAATGTAGGGGCTACGTCTCCCACCACCTCCAGCCTAGGTGAGTTGTCCATAGGCATCCTTCAGTCTCGAGAGACTATGGTAACATGCTCTGAATTGAGGAGTGTCCTCTCCAGAGCATGAAGCCTGGGTAAAGTAATATGGAGGATAGGCTGTTACCTAAGCAGCAGATCCCCCCTCTCCACGTTGCTGAAATGGTCCAATGGAAAGGCAAGAGCCAATACAACTGGTTCCAGCAATGTCGCAGGAGTTGCCAGAACGACACGAACTGCCTCCAGGACTCCAGCTCTGGATTTTGCCTCGAGGGTAACTCCTGAAGCCTTTTCCATTAGTGGATATAGCCACAAGGCAGTAGAGGTTTGAAATTGGAGTTTTCCTTCCAGCGCATTTTAGGGCACCAGGCTGAGAAGGGCTGGAGAGTCAAACCACACCCGCTGGCATTGCTGACCCAGGATAAGGATTCAGATCTGCTCAACTTCTTTCCAGTATTAAATTGCAGTTTAAATTGCCTGCGTGCCACAGTGATGCCTGGT